ATATGGGCTGTTTGTGTCACTTGTGGTGATCGATGTGTGTTTGTTCTGAACAGTCTTTCCCAGCAAGAGCTCAAAGAAGTGGGTAAGACAGCAGGGAGTTGATAGGACATTATGTTAGCTGTGGCAGATGCATATTGCACAGAAGAAGGATTGAGAAAACTGCATGACAATTTTCAAGCCACTGTAAAAGATGCAGTCTGTTGAATTCGCTTCTTGTAGGTCCTAACCATAGTCTTTGGATAGAAAGATCAGATATACATCATCAAGCCCTATTATTATTGTTGAATGTGAGATGTTTGTATGTTGTGTTTAAGTGGTTGTATTTTATGGTGTATGGTACCTCCACAGATTGCCATTTTATAAGCAAATTTGTGCTTTCAACCAGAAAATCTGTTCCTCAAAGCGGATGTCAGTATATATTTTGTGCTGGCCCAGGTTCATGAAAAGTGCTTTGTGTGAATTTTAAAAGGTAGCATACAGTCATATTTTAAAATGCTCAAGAGGATAAAAAGTAGTTTATGACAGCTTTACAGTTCACATGATAAATAGGATAAGTAGCATGCTTATAAAACAATCCTGCCTGATAATTGAATAATGTACTTGTTTTCCAAAAATAGGATAAGAGCACGGCTGGAAAGGCTGCATAATGCTGAAAGAACACTGGGTGGAAAATCTCACAACTGATTAGATTAATTGTCAACAGTTCAGAAACATGGCTGGGATAAAACGAGCTTCAAAGGACGACAGAGTCTTTCAGAAGTCAAGGAGGAAAGGAGTCCATAGAAAACAGCTCTGTAATCTTAGAATATTTCTCTGTGTGAAATTGCACAGAATTACTGGATTTCTTCTCTGATACTTCATGCTGTTAAACATTTCACACTGGGCTGAGAAATCCTTTAAATGAACACGCTGAAAAGTGATTTTTAATGACCCCGGGCAACACTGTCTCTAAAAACCGATGTGAAACTGATGTGAAATTCACTGCAAGGCCTCAAGAGCTTCAAATGGGGAACTGTCCTATGAGCCAATAAATTCAAACTTGAAATTTGTTTTGGGGGGATTTTTTTTTCAAGAAAAGTGTAGCAGCCTAACCTTTTGGACATATGGCTGTAAAGTAAAAAAGCTGAGCATAATCACATTCATTATTTTACTTTTTTATATAGTTTCCTGTCTGTGATATTTAAAATCTACGCAGCATTCCATCTTTATACATTTAAACTTTTGCATTAAATAAATTACCTTAATACCTCTCATCTGCTGAAGGGATCCTATTGATGAGGTCACCACCTATCTAACAGAATAGACCTTCTCATCTTGAGGTAGTTCAGATTGAGCTTCCCTCAGCTACCTTAAAAGACTTTTAGACATAATTTTTAATGTATTTTATTTAAATTCTTACTAAGATAAGCCAACCACATACAGGATATGCTTCCTAAAATGTTGCATTCTGGCATTGGAAAAGGCTAAAAGTCATTTAAGTATTTACATTATTACAAGCATTTTATCTTTGTTATTCTTTTACTAACCAGTGACTGAGGTTTTGCCAAATGAATATTTAGCATTATGAGCAGCTTCCAGGGGATCAGCCGTCCACAGCTGGTTTCCCTGCAGGGGAGGCTGGCTGGTTGTGTTGCTCATGTCTGGCACTGAAGGCAACAAAAGTGAGACTGGTGTTAATCCAGAGAGGAGCTGCGGATTTTCTCAGGCATTGCTCCCTGTTGCAAGGCTATTGCTCATATCCTCCAGGGACATGTCTCCCCTTCAACCCTCTCTGTTTCTCGGTCTGTATCCTTTACTTGGACACTCCCTCCATCTTTCACACTCTTTTTCCCCCCTCTCACTTATTTCTTCATCTCACTTTGTCCCAAGTTGTGCCTCTTTACCCTCACCCCACCCTGCTTCCTTTTGCTCCCCTTCCTTTAGCTGCTGTGAATACTGTGGCTGAACTGCTCCTCCTTGTGTCTCAATAGGGACATCACAAATTGTCATAAATTCCTTGAGCTTTTTTTTTTTTTTTTTTTGTCACTTTGACATTTTGTCATTCAAAGACGGGTGTTTAGGCAAAGCGGGCTGTGTAGCAGGGTGGATGTTGACACTTTCACATCAAAGAAAAAAGGTTAGAATCCAAACTGGTTGGTCTTTCTGTTGAGTTTGCATTTTTTTTTATCTGGTTACTCTGTATTACTTATGCATGGGGATTTAATTGGTAATTCTAAATTGAATACAAGAGTGAGTGTGTGCATGCACGGTTATTATTCTGGGCGTTCCCTGAATCTGACTTAACTGCAGCTTGTACAGGCAACCGCTCCCCTGCATGCCTAAATTAAATTAAACAGCTAGAGAAAATTAATTAGATATTTTTTTAAAGTATTTTCTCTTTTCTTTATTATTTCATAATAATTTATATTGCAAAAGTGTAATTTTCCTTCAGGGAATGAGTAATGTGTAATTGAGATATACATGGATTTGGACTGAGTTTCACTTATGTATTTTATTGCTTTAGATCTGTTTTTTTTGTTTCAAAATTATTAAATATATACACTTCAATTGTGCTTTCACTAAAGAGTTTCTATCTTAATGCAGATTATCCATGTTAGAAATAAAGGATAAAACGTTAACTGAACCTCAGATATTGAAAGAACATGTGCAGATATTTTCTCTTTAACTGTGTGTGGACTCTCCTAAAGCACCAATGTGCTGCAAGCAGCAGTAGATGGAGCTGCAGGGCCAGTTGTGGACTGCTGACCAGCTGGTCATCCTGAGTCATACACAGCAACCTCTTATTCAAACCATATGTTCACATACACAACATATAGATAAAATCAAGCTACTGTGACTGAACGGCTGTGTAGCTTCTTAAGAAAAAGGATTCAGTATTATACAGGTTATAAGGATCCCTTTCTGGAGCAGTATAAAAGATCAAGTAGTCTGATCAGTCCAAATTGTCTGGTTGTCTGCTGTCAAAATGGGTCTAATGAATGTCAGTTCTGCTTTTAAATACTTGTATTAATTTGAAATGTGTGAGTATGATGGTTTCGTGTCAGATTACTCTTATGATCATGATATTTTTGCATATTTTTGCATACACACTGATATGTTTTCTCTTAAAATGTAAAGGATCATTGTCATGCACTAAGTCAGTGCATTTATGCAGAAGGGGGTGCTATTGTCGCAGTGACCATATCAGTGTCTACGAACAGGGAACAAACCAATCCAAACAGCCACCAAAAATACAAAACTCAAATAGCAAGAAAAAGGTTATTCATTTAAAACCTTTGACTGAAGTTTCTGACCTTTTAAAAAAATGCTTTTAGAGTGTCTTTTCCCCAAAAATATCTGTTAATGCGGCCTTGTTTGTTCACTGGATCAGCTTGACTTTGACCTCATGACAGAAAAACCAGCAGAGTACCAAAACACGTGTGTTCTGGTATTCTGTAAGCTTCAGTGGTGGGGGCCCAGAGAGGTGAGAGGTGCCGTCCATTATCATGCTGACACAACTGACGTCAGGCTTTCTGCTGCTGTCCCACTGTTTAACACCTACCAGAAGCCATGTGTGAGATGAATACACGTATGTTGGGGAGAATGTCATTGAAAATGTAAAAAAAAATTAAAAAGGTGATTTTCGTTATGTATTCCTCATATTTTCATGGTTCACCAAAAGTTAGAAAAGGAAGAAAAGAAGGGATTTTGATCAGCTGTAAATGTGTAATGTGTCGTTCAGCAGGCGCCTACAGACTTGAACCATCTGCTTGGTTCTTTTCTTCTCTGGCTTCATTTTTGGGCTAAAACTCCCCATGGAATCTCATTACTTTGGGTTCTTTATAAATGTTTTAATAATTTTTCTCTAAATTCAGGGGCCCCCCGCTCACGTATGCCTGTTGCCCACCTTTGGATGTGGACGTACTCTTTAGAGAGGCAGTGAGTCAGATCAAAGAGCTCCTCTGCAGGTTCACTGCCCACAGACCCCAATGCAGTTTGTCTTTCAGACCGGGTTATGAATTGAGGAGAGCTCGCTTCAACACGCCTTTTCTTTACCACAGGACTTTTCAGGACTCCTGACCATCTGTATGTGTGTCTAGATATGTGTGTGGTGGGTTGCCTTTTATTTTCGCACACCAAAGAGAGGAGGATTAGGCGATTTAGGCTTTTATTCAAACAAATCATTCACTTCAGATAATAAAAGGAATCTGACCCACGTGAACTTCTTTTTAAAGGGTAAAGTTTAGAAAATGTGCCACAGCCATAACTCATTCCTTCAACACCTTATCCAGTTAAAACAATCTAATAGTTTTTCTTAATTCCTCCATTACATGTATATGGTATTGAAACTAACTTGATTTTAGGAAGCAATATCCTAAAGGAACATGAGCATATCATTATCTCTACCATCGCAGGTGCTTACAGTCTGGTTCTGCAGCTCTGCTCGCAACCTACAGACAGAGGGGCGGTTCTGCGGTGAAGTGGTGGCGCGAAGAAGAGGAGGAGTGTAGACTTAAGACAGAAAATTTGAGAGATAGTGGTGTCGGAGTGGCCCTAAGAGGACAAGGAGGGCAAGGAACTGTCGCGCTGCTACCTAATGATTGTTTCCATCTCTTTGTAAATATTTTAACACTGAAACTGGATTACACTTTCCCCAGTGACCTGCTGAGTACGAGACAAGAAAATTGAAAGAAAAAGCTTTTTGCGTAAAATCCTTATCAAACGCATTTTTACGCACGACTTTTTGCTGGAATTTTGGCGCATATGCGGGATTTCCTCGTCTTTTTTTAGGCATGTTGGTAAGATTATTGATGGATAATCATAGAAGAGGACAATATAGCTAAAAATCGACTTTACTGTGGATACTTCGTGGAGACAAGTGCAGTGTTGAATCAGAATAAGGACACTGGACCCTTGTTTTAAGGCACGCGTCGCCGTCTTCGTTACCAACATCCAAGGGTTTCATTTCAGAGCCCCAAACCCTTCAAAGACGGATCAGGACGCATACTGAGTTTTTGCACATGTCTCAACAGCAGAGCTCTTTCTCCAGATCTGACTGTGTGGCCGTGACGCGGCGGACAGTCATGGACAACAGGCCCGTCCCGAGAAGACGAAGTGGTGCCGTCCGACATCTTCTGCTGGCGGCCACTTTCCTCGCATGCAGCTCCCAGCTTCTGGTAGTGGATGGAAACTCATGGTGGTAAGTGCCCGATTGATAGATCTGAAGATCTGACATATATGCATGGAGATGTGGTGAATTAAGACTCTCAATAGAGGTAAACAGTTTGTCTACATGTTGTTTTTCTGTGTGCTTTTTCCATTCAACTTTTCTTTTTTTTATCCGACTTGTAAACAGCCTTTTTATTCTTTTTAAAGTTTGCTCCATGTTACTTTGGACTCCTCTGTGTGTTTTGGGGGTTACTTTTGCATGGGTGCTTGGGGTGCTAGCAATGAATGAAACAAATGTGAAGCCCCCCTGTCACAATATTTACCCTGGCTGAGCCCAAATGGCATTGCATGGGGCTGCTGCGGTGCCTGCGGGGCCTTCAATTAGCCACACTTGTTCTTGACTGATAAACAACTGTGTGTAGCTTAGTCTGGACACAGCGAACGGTGCATGAAGGGTCTGTGGAGTGATGCTATTGGAGTTCACCTGTCTGTCAGAATCTGCAGAATTATTCTCTGGTAAATTGACATGCTTCCCGAGGGTTGGGTATGTTTTGGGGATGATCTAAGGAAAGATTTTAAAGGGGCCATAAAGATAGTGGCTGCAGTGATGTGCACCACAGGAGTCTATTTATCTGCATTTTATAGGCCACTTGTCCTAATAAAAGCTGTGTCTGAGTTTTTCAGTGTGCCGGGTTGACCTTAGATCCCAGATTGTCATTGTCTCCGCATGGCTCATTGTCTCCGAGGGCTTCATCTGACCTCTATCTTTCAGGTCTCTCGGTCTGACCCCAATCCAGCGCCCTGAGATGTACATTATTGGTGCTCAGCCTCTCTGCAGTCAGCTGTCTGGACTCTCTCAGGTAAGTTACTGTGGGAAACAGAGCCTGCCTGTGAAATACTGTTTCAAATTAGTTACATTCTGCTGTGGCTGTAAAACACTGTGTGGGTTGCGAGTTCCTGTGCGCCACCCACCTCTCCCCTGGCTGGGGGATCTGGTTAAATAAAATTGGAATCTCCCTGTCCTGACCACCAAAGTCCTAAACTATTAACTGACTAATCTCTGCTAATCTTTCCTTTCCACTGATGCTGTGCGACCTGCAGGGTCAGAGGAAGCTGTGCCAGCTGTACCAGGATCACATGACCTACATTGGTGATGGAGCCAAGACGGGCATCAAGGAGTGTCAGTACCAGTTCAGACAGAGGAGGTGGAACTGCAGCACCGTGGACAACACGTCCGTGTTTGGACGGGTTATGCAGATTGGTGAGTTTCTCTCTGGACTACAGCTACATTGTTTTTAAAAAGGCATGATGACATTGTTGCCAGCCAAACTGTCACAGCAAGTTAAACTATTTTAAAAACTTGGTCAGCTGTCTTGGTGAAGGTACGGCTGCCACTTCTGGAAGTGTCATCATGTGATTTATAGTCGGTGTAGGTATACGTGTTTCACACGTGGGTTGTGTATCACCACCTCTAAAAATCAATTATTTCAAATCAAGTATTCTACTTTCAATTAGATATATGCTAAAAAAATGTTATTATGTAAACGCTTATTTTTAAAGAAAAAATTAACTATTACAGACAGGTTTCTTCATTAAACTGTTTTTAACTAAGGTTGCAACATGTGTTTTGTGGTGGCAGCAGCTGCACTGTTTTCCATTGGTGGGTGTTGTTGCTTATCAGGGCGAAAGCACGGAACGCACAGTTTGTTGAAGTCTTCACTCTTGAGACTAAACTTGGATACAATTTATTCACCCAAGAGGTGAACAGCTAGCACGCAAATGTAGGAATCCAGAGGAAGCCATTTTTTAATACATTTTCTCATAGTTTATGAACTCACTGTCCAAAAATGAAACTCATGGAGTGTTTTCCCTGTGAACACATTGGGCCTCAGAATAACACCTACAGCCCTTAAATGAGCAAAAGGTCCACGAGGAGAAGGGTATTCTATGTTAAAAAAAAAGATGTTAATGGAATTTTATAAGGAAATGTTGCACTTGTTTAGCCAACAATGCCAAATGATTAGGGGCTCCTTTCCACTCTGCGCAGGCGCAGTAGAATAAGCAGTTTACTGTAGAAATGCAGACGCACCGACAGCCAACAAGTGTCTAAAAACGTGTTAGGCAGCTGCAGTATTTGAGTAAATGTCTACCGGGAGAGCGGGTCCTGGGTCAGTATCTGCCGCTAATTCCCAGCAGGCGACGTGGGAAACGTCTCATCAACACTTAAGTGTCAGATCCGCTGCGGGCGCTCAGACGAGGTGTTTGCTGCTCTCTGCCTGTCTGCGTCCCCTCTGCCCGTCCCCTCTATTGACAGTCGGCTCCTGCTCCCGGGTTATATGGAGGTGTGAGTCGGTCCATTGTCCTGCGGCTCTCTCTTTTGAAATGCGCCGATGAGCTGGCAGCGAGCCGGCAGATCCGGACGGGCGCTATTTGAAGTCGGAGGGAGCCGCGCTCGTAAAGCTGGACCGGGGGAACCGTCTCCAGAAGCGGAATGACTGGCCCGCGCGCCCCGGGTCGCGTGAATTCCTGCCCGGCTGGCCGAGTGTTGATTCCAGCCAGCAGTAAAACCACATTTCGGCATGTAGCCGCACAGTGGGGCGTTAGAATAAAGTGTTGCAAATTAAAATGAATACGCGCTGACTTTACGAGAAAGGATCCCGAGTATTGCCAAGAAATGACAATAAAATCTAATTGGGCCAGTACAGAGAATCAAGCTGCTCTCAGTCTGCAAGAAAAATAGTTTTTTCAATATGGTTACACTGAACATAAAAAGGCCATTAAAATGTGTCGGATGGTTAGATTGTTAGAATATGTGTTAATACAGATGCTCTTTTAATATATTTAAAAACCATAACAAATATCCCAGCCAATCATTTCCCCCCGATTTGATATTAAGAAAAAAACAACAATAATTAAAAAAAGGCCATATAACTATTAAAACACAGATGTTAAAACTTCAAGCAGGAATTAAGCTTGTAGCTGTTTTATGTTTGCGTGCAAATGACAGAGTTTCAGAGCACTTAACATCTTGTCTTTGTTCTTTTTGTGCTTTGAAATGGTCTCTGTATCAACACTGAGAAAGGGACATGGCCTCTGTTGTGTATTCCTCATTGCAAAATAGTCTTATGAATGAAAAGAAATCATGAATATGGGCATCGTCTGTTGAATTGTAAGTGAGCAGACGCCTACAGAGAATAACAACAGGTAGATCATTAAAATAGTTTGGTCACTTTCTTTGGTTGTTTATTAGAAAGTAAGTGAATCCAGTCAGATTCTTATAACGAGTCATTGGCAGGTACCCTGTTTTATATGCACTGGTGGAAAGTATATTTATGGGGAAATATTAAACATTTTCACTTAACTACATTGATTTGGTTGTTCCATATTTTAAAACTTTAAAGTGAGCTGTTTTACTGTCAGTAATTGTAATAACTTGCATATTTAATTAGCTGCTCTTAGAAATATACAGTTGACCTAACAGGTTTGTTGTCTTTATGTCCCTTCACTGCTCTCCACTTCAAGAAAGTGGTGGGGGAGTATTTATTCCACATCCTCTCAGCTCTGCTCGTCCATATGACAGAAGCATAGTAACCTATGGTCCTCTGTGTCCTTTTACCATCAGAGGTAACCAGCGTTCTGTTATGGAAAACGGACACATCATCACAAATAAGTTAACATTAGTGGATGCTGCACATGTGCTAGAGACCCCTCAGCTGTCGTTGGGGTTAGAATCAGATCACATCTATTGTCTACAGAGATGTGAAGTTGGCTGTTGGGCCGTCAGCTGTCCGTTTGTTTTCCCCAAAAGTCTGAGTTTATGTGAAAATGAGAGCATATTAAACAGAAAGACAATCAAGAGTTTCCTCTGTTTCCTGTCTCCATCAGGCTCCAGGGAAACGGCGTTCACCTACGCCATCAGTGCTGCTGGCGTGGTAAACGCCATCAGCCGGGCGTGCCGCGAGGGCGAGCTGTCCACCTGCGGCTGCAGCCGCCACGACCGCCCGCGCGACCTGCCGCGCGACTGGCTCTGGGGCGGCTGCGGAGACAACGTGAATTACGGCTACCGGTTCGCCCGGGAGTTCGTGGATGCCCGGGAGAGGGAGAAGAACTACCCGCGCGGGTCACGCGAGCACGCCCGAACACTCATGAACCTGCACAACAACGAAGCCGGGAGACAGGTACGGCCCACCAAAGCCCTCCGGTTTTGTTTTTTTCTTTAGGGGGCAAAAAAAAGTGAAGCTCAAGTTCTACTCTAGAAGTGAAACTTGAAGGAGAGAAATGTGCGCCTCCTCTCCTAACCCCATACTATATCTATATGTCTGTCAGGAATGTGTGTGAAAGTCGAGGCGGCCCCGGATCGACTGACCTGGTAGTGTTTGTGCTGGTGTGTGTGCCTGTTATTTATTGGGAGGATACAAATGGCATAACTGCTAACGCCCTTGGAGCCTGGCTGGGTCAGTAGGTCAAGGCGCATTCCATCGTAGTGACACACAAACACACATGCCCATAAAGGCAGACGTATAAATCCTGCATCACAGGGGGCACGATAACGCCGGACTGTACGACGCATTTCATTGGCCCGAAATACTTTAGTAAGATTTCAAATTGTGTCCGAGGATCTGAGGATCCTGTCAGTTGTGGAAGCACCCAGAGGAAAAACACACACACTCTCGCCTTCCTGATAAAATGTCCATTTGCCTGTTCTGGCACCCCGAAGTCGAGCTTATCTCCAGCTTGGAGCAGCTTGGCTTAAGCTGTTTACAAGACAGAGATACGTGCACGTGTGCTCGGTTTGATTTGTGTGGGAGACAGTGAGCCCAGGTTTGTGCATGCATGTGTGTGTCAGAGGTCAAAGGTCAGGGTCTGGGGAGGTTGTGTTTCTGCTGAAGTCCCGTTGGGGCTGTATGAGAGTGTATGAGGGAAAGATCTACTGCCACACCTTTGTCTGAACACACACACTCCCCAAACATTCACACTGTTTTTGAATGACTTTTCCTCCTGTCTCCGTGTTTGATCCTTCGCTTTCATTGTCGCCTGACCATTGAAACGGAAGAGAGGAGAAGAGCGAGATGAAAAGCAAGAGAGGAAGACAGTCACTCTCCACTCTATCCCCCCTTTCCGTTTTTCTTCCGAGGACACGCTGGTTTGTCCTGAGCGGGATTTGTCTCGCTTGCCTGAACAAGGCAAACTGCAGGGCTTTTGTTGAGGTGACAGAGGCGTGCCGCTGTGTGTGTTTGTGTGTGTGTGTGTGTGTGTGTGTGTGCACACGTGTATGCCCCTTCATTTTATTTCTGTGAACGGTGGGGACTGTGTGTGAGAGCGTCTGGAGACGGAGACGCAGGGCGAGGGATGGACACCCATCATTTTCACCAAACTTTCTTACAGATACACACATAGTTATTACCTGTTCAGGCCCACTGTCTGAGGCAAAGCAGTTATCATATGTTGGTACAAATAGATATCGGGAATCGAACTGGTCTAGGCTTTTCCATTTGTGCTTTAAGTCAGAAACTAAAATAAAGATAGATGGAGGCATTCATTATTGAATTTTCAATACTCTTCCAATTGGCCACATTTTTATGTTTCAGCTTTGTGACTCATGTTATTTAGCTTTGCTTTCCATTTTAGGCATCCATTTGTGCTTATAGAAATTGTGCTTATTTCACAAATTTCTGTTAGATCAAGCTGAAAAAGAACGATGTGAGGTATTCACTTGGCTGAAGTCCTCAACTTCACCACAAGCAGTTACTAATTACCACACGCTGTTCGTTTCACAGAGAAATGTAGGTATTGTTTTTTGATCATATTCATATTTTTATGGCCAGAAAAATAAAATAGATTACAAGTCTGTGATAGTTTTGTTCCATGTTTTAGTTTTTAAAAAATAATCGTATTTAAATAGATGTCAGTGATTTGTATAAAACGAAACCAAGAAGAACTAAATAAAGGAACTAAATTTGGTTTGATAGTAGGAGGTGGAAGTGAATACATCGCCTTTTCCTCGTTAGTGTTCTTAATCGATGCTCACCCTGCCACTAAGGGTAGCCGATGAACTTTAGGTTTATCCTGTTTGGCTTTCACATACAAATGAGTATAAGCATGAACACCCACATCACACACACACAGTCAGCTCCCAAGTCCTAACTCTTTTTGAGCTGAACCTATTGTGCCTGACACAGAGAGTCTGCCATGGCTGACTGAGCGTGTGTGTGTGCGTGCGTGTGTGCGTGTGTGTGTTGCAGACTGTGTGTGTGCGTTCATCAGGTCCAGTGTCACTTTGCCCGGCAGGCATGTTGGACCAAATAGCTCAGTATGATGCCGGACACACACGTGCATGCTTTGATTTGGCAGCTGGAGGTTTGTGGCAGTTTGAAATGAAAGTGCTTCTGGAGGGCTGTTCAGAGGAGCAACGATTGTCTCAGAAGCTGTTGTATGAGATGGAAAAATGTGCTCCAGCCTCAAAAGCAGACTTTTACTCTTGCACAAAATGTCATTGTCTCCTGCTCCCGGTTTGTGTCTGGTGGGGTCACTGGGGTCGGACTGCAGGATTGGAGGGTGCCGAGTGCTATGCCTGCTGGGTAGTAAAGTAAGAGGAGTGGGAGCAAGGGGTGGAAGGTGGGGGTCGGCGTGGATGGGTCGCAGGGGTTAACAAAGGTGAGAAGGTAATTGAGATCAGGCAATGCAAGGAGACAGAGTGATGTGTTTAATTTGTGTGTGGGGGAGTCAGGGGAAATTAGGAATCAGGGAAAACTGATTCTGTGAGTAGATCTCTGGGAATATGTGTCAATGGCATCGGATCTGCACAACGTACAACACATCTGATTAGTGACGGTACATAATTCACTGGTGTTTGGGATGGGGGTGTTTTATGTGACTTGTTTATTAAATGCTGGTTAAGTGACCTGTTAAAACAGCAGGGTTTACTGCTCCACAGACCATAAATCTTCTATTTCCTGTTCTGTTTTTCGTTTTTATTCTTTCTTTTTTTTTTTAACTAAGCCACATGTTCTTAATGTTTTGTGAGGTCAAGAGTATTTGAAACCCAATTTTCCAAAATAACAATCACAGCAAAACAAACTGAGAAAAAAGAAAAGAGAGAAAGTTCTGTTTACAACAGCAATATTTGACGATAAAGCGGTTTGAGCTTTACATTTCTGTGTTTTTATCAGGAGGGATTCACTTTTAGTTCTGAACAGTGTTTCCTAATTGTATATGATTCAGGATTTTTGGAGCCGCTTTTGTACTATATATTTAGGAAGATTTTTCATGTTTCCAGGTCTAATGTAACCTCAGCCACTTGGTCTTCTTTACTTTTGTTGTAATAAGGGCAGAATGTGGTTTGACATTCTTTCTCAAACAAGTAAAAACAACATCTTCTGGATGGTCACATTTTGTGCTATGATACCTTGATGTAACATACAGCATCAGTTCTGTCAAATGGCACTAATGTGGGCCATTCCTTTTGGTTAGCAGTTGTCTTGTTTTTTTAAGCATTTCTTTTGTTTGCTAAAAACAAAGTTGTGACAGAAAACTTTGTTTTTGCCATATGAAGCTAATTTTAAACACAACTATAGCATCTGGACATTGACACAACTGGTGATGTGGATTTGTAGACACATCTGTTATTTTATATATGTTGTATTCAGTAAAATTAGCAAACAGTGGGAAATCTGATAATTTCTGTTCTATTATATGTGAAAATGATAACATTTACAGTTCCTCACATTTGATAAGTTTTTGCATGTTTAAACCAGTAGTAGTTACCATTTTTAGCCACTAGATGGTAGCATCATAACATAAGAATTTTACGCTAATGCTTGGGAGGTAAAATCTAATTTGTTTAGAATTTAATACAAGTGTATTGTTTTAGTGTTTGAATTCAGACCAAAACAGTTATTTTCAGAGCTGTGACTGACACCAAACCTGGTTACAATGTTCTGACACATAATAGGGAGTCATCATGAGTGATACAGAGATGAAACTGTATTTCCTCTTGGGTATATTTGGATGAGATTTTAAAAAAAAGAGAAAACAAGTGAGGTTGCAAATATCTCTTTTTTTATCCCTCCACCAGGCGGTCTACAACCTTGCCAGTGTGGCCTGTAAGTGTCATGGCGTTTCAGGCTCCTGCAGCTTGAAAACCTGCTGGCTCCAGCTGGCCGACTTCAGACGCGTTGGGGAGTTCCTTAAAGAGAAATACGACAGTGCCGCCGCCATGCGGATTGGACGCAAGGTACTGATTTGACACTAAGTAGAAACGAGGGGGGAAAACCGATTTTATTTTTGCTCCAATTCATTCTCTCTTTGCGCCAACAGGGAAAGCTGGAGCTTGTGGACAAACGCTTCAATAAGCCGACCCCGGAGGACGTGGTCTACATTGACCCCAGCCCCGACTACTGCCTCCGCAACGAAACTACGGGCTCGCTGGGCACACACGGTCGCCTCTGCAACAAGACCTCCGAAGGCATGGACGGCTGCGAGCTGATGTGCTGCGGCCGAGGCTACGACCAGTTTAAAACCTACAAGCACGAGCGCTGCCACTGCAAGTTCCACTGGTGCTGCTACGTCAAGTGCAAACGATGCACAACCCTGGTGGACCAGTTTGTCTGCAAATAGCTTGCCGGCGCTGGCTGGGCTGATGGAAGGGGATGTAAACAGCAGAAAGGGGAGGAAGTCATTCAATGAGAAGATGTTTATTCAGGCTTTTGTTCAGGATGTGACAAAAAAGACAATTTTTTTCTATAAATTCCTTATCTCACCAGAAAAAAAGGCTTCATGACCACGTTGTGACTAGTTGTGAAGGGATACACTCACACAAGGGAAAAGACATCTTCAATTAAATCTAACATCCTGATCACAATCCTGAAGGAAGGAGAGACGGAAAAGAGGATGCATTTTATGGACAAAAAACATCGAAGATTACTGGACCCAGCAGCGGCAACTGGATCCGTCAAAAGGCGGACAAATGTGACTCAAGACAGTCTGAGAAGCAAAGTAAATATATAATTAAATAATAAGTAAAAATACAAGTCTGATTATTATTTAAAGACACCTGAAGTCATTACGGTGGTTTGAAGTTTGAAGCGTTTTGAGTCCTGCCGTGTCACCGTGCACGCAGCAGCCGCACTGACATCCTCACGTGCACTGTCATCAGTAAACGCACCTCAAATACATAAGAGGAGAAAATGATTAGAAATCAAGGTGACCAGGAAAAGGGGGAAAAAAACAGAAAAGCATGAGCAGGAGAGAACTGGAATGGTTAATGGACAGTGACCTTCAGCAGGCCGTTTCAGCAAACAGCTGGAAATGTTGTTCTAAAACCAGTAAAACATGCAAAGATATAATCCTCAACAGGCAAAAAAAAGGACACAGCATTCTCCTGCGCCGGTGGCCTGACAAGTGTACCTGTGTGCAGGTTAATGGTCCCTGCTGGCCGCAGCCATCTTGACACCACCGCCGTTTAAAGCAGCAGCTCACACTGGCGGTCCAGCTCCGTAACCTTCAGCTGACGGCGAGGCAAACAAAACGTCCATTAGTGAGATTGATGTGCCTTAATGAAGCCGCGCCCGGTGCAAACGGACCTCCTCATCTCATGTTGTTATGCAACTTGTCGACAGTTCTTCTGCCACTTTAGCATGTTGTTTTTCTGTCGTGCCATGATTTTCTAATTTGTGTTGGCTATGATACAAATGAAAGATGCAGTTAAATGACAGACATGAGGAGGACAAAGTGAACAGAGAGGACTGAAAATGCTGTGGAAAAGCCAACGCGTGAGGAATCAGAAAGGACTGCAATCTGTTACGCGCTACTTTTAAGAAATAGTAGATCAAAAAGGAAAGTATATTTTAATACTGTTTTACATTCTCTGTTTTCTGTGTTTTATACAAGCGTATTATGGTGTATTCTTTGGATAAACTAGTCTTTGAAAATGAGGCTCTCTGTCTGCTGCTGTTTTTTGGAAAAGGTTGATATGGGCCAACATGTTCACTCTGTCCTCCACCAACATGACAACTACAAGCAGGTCTTTGTTATCAACTGGCTGTTTTGGAAAATCGTGCTGCGATAATGCTGCTAAATATGAGCAAGAATTGATGCAATAGACAAGGCGCAAGTCGCACAAGACACTGCTGCCATTGATCAAACTAGGAAGAGTGTGTTATGTAAAGGAGCAAATGAAGCTCGGAACTCATGCATGCTAAACTTATTCTGAACAAAATCTTTTTGATGCGTTTTGTAGATTAATTATTAATCATTTATAAATGGCACATTATAATGTTTCCTCTAACGTTGAATGATGAATAAATGTTTAAAAAAACAACTAATTCCTTGAAAGTCAGTTTCAAACTATTAAAAACAAAAAAACAACACTATATTTAGACTGATTTTTTACCTTATTATTAAACTCAAACTGTGGATATTAAATATTTGTACGTATTAATCCATGTAGCTCATTCTATGATATCAGTATAAAAATATGCTGGGAACATTTTTTTAGCTGCAGAAAACAAACTAACATCTGTACCAACAGACAATACAAACTGACGTACGTTTTATGTTTTTACTTTCGTTACACACATAGATACCTTCCGTTGCTTTATAACTTCACAAACTAAAATTACATACATTTCCTGTGCTTTTTACTATTTTTATACTATTTTGCCTACTTTTACCTGATGCTCCTGATTTCTGCTGCTTGCCCTCACACCCTCTGGAGACTTCTGATCCCAGCAGATGGGCAGACAGCTTGTTCATCCCTGGATTCCTCTTCTGCTCTGCATGTGTCTCAAACCGCTCCTAAAAGTCCATTTTTATTTATCTGAAATTTGTGATGCTGGATTCCACAGGAGTTGATTTACAGTGCCTAGAGCTTGATGTCAAATGGTCATAAAATGATCCAACAGCTGTGCTCAGCAGCTTCTTACCTTTTGCACCGAATGTCAAGTACATGGGCGAGGCTAATCGGGTCAGCGCCCTGACCTAATAACAATCCCATTACTTTTAGCTGCTCACAAGTAATTGGATTAGACAACTGACCAGAGCAGCATGACCGACCTGCAGCGCTGTCTGTCTAATCCTCCTCACCTGACAGAAGCCTGCTCAGGTTGGCATTGTCTTTCACGGTAGACAAGCTTCTGCTTCTGATCATAACTGCAAAGACAAGTGACAATGTATTTAATCCCAAAGTTGATCTGCATAAGTATTACATGTCTTGTTTTGATGTTTGTGAGTCTTTAATGAGGATTAGACTGGAGAAAGTGTAACCCGATGGTCCAGCTAATCTTTCTCACCTGACGGCCATCTGCTGTCGTGATGCTGCCAGATGGACAGTAAGGTTATTGAACATCGTTTACATGACATTTTGATTGTAAGGCACAGTTTATATTATGGGGTGATCATTTTTGACAAAGTGTCCCTCTCCTCTGTTCCCAGGCTTTCCCAGAATGCCATTGCAGTGTTGACGGAGATCATTAAAGGGGCCGCATCTCTCCAGAGACTTTTTTGTTCTGTAGTTTTGCAAGATTTGTACAATTTTGAACTGTTTTCGTAGTGATACCATCAATCTTTCCCCATTGCCTCCTTGTTCTTTAAAATGATGTTGACATGGAGATTTTTTTAATAATCTGGAGCAGAGGTTTTCACTCATCCTTCACCATCAAGGAAGAAACTGTAGGGCCAAAAGCATTCTGGATAAATGCTGACTGTAGTTTTTTTTTAATGTTCGTTAAGTCTTTTTTCTTACAGTGATCCTCATTTGCCAACTGTGTGACTGTTCCCACTGAAGTAAACCAGGTGGGATTTTGCACGTGGTGTTTGTAGATTAGCCAACAGCTGCTGCACTTAAGACATCAACAGGAGAAACTCTAATCTGGATCAGCTGAGGAGAGGAACTTCTTTTTCTTCCTCACATGTGCAACATTATACAAACCGAAGACACATTCAGATTCTGTTTTTGATTCAGATACTCTGTTTTCTTGAGTTATCTGACACAAAAGGCTAAAAGAGCAAGTCAAGTCACACACAAAATCTCAGCCATTCATCCATTAATCTGTTCATCCATATGCTTTCAATGTGGATCACAAAGGATCCACGTCAAAGCTGCTTTATGTTTTAACTGATGTCTTTCAAACCTGTTCAGCTTATTAATCATTTTTGTCTTTCATTTTTTTGTCATCATTTTGTAGTTCCGAAAAGCTAAATATAGTTCTTGCTTATCCCAGACAGCCGTAAAACAAAGATCACAGGTTTATTTTATAGCATTAGCCTCCAAAAAAGAGTTACTTTTAGAGTTATGTTACAGGAATGCTCATGCCATTTTTTGCCAGAATTAGATACAGTTAAAAACATCTGTAAAAGTTTTTTGTATTTTTTAAGAAAGGGTTGTTTTTCAGATGTCATGGGACTGAATTGCGTCAGTACTCAAAATTATTTACTACTCTGTTCGAGCCCTAGGAGGATCTGTGTCATACAGATAATATCATTTCTTCTTGCATGCAGCCCCCTACTGCTTGTAGCTTTAGTGTATTAAATATTAGTCATATTAGATTATAGGTTCTCTGACCGAATGTGTGGTCATGCTTGACTGGTTTTACCATGGAGTTTTTGTACGTATTGTTCTATTGTTTCAACTCTTTTTACTTAAGGCCCTGTTTAAAGCTTATGACAGTCTTAACATTTAGGACTATATTTATATATTCCACATCATCAGTTGTATTATTGGAATTTAGTGTGTTGAATTGCCACATTAAATCTATAAATATCTATCTAAATTTTGCTTTCCATTTATAAAGCTGTCCCAAATCTGATTTTTATTGCTGTCTTTCAGCATGTGACTTTTCGTTACTGAACAAATACTAACATCTTGGCATCTCTCCAGTTACATAGAAATATTTATGGACCAGATTTATCCCTGACTAAATATGATAATTTGGCAATTTTATAAATGTTACAATCAATTCAAAGGTTCAAACATTTCTATTTTTAACACTTTTTTTAAGAAGGAGAAAATGAAAAGGTTGTGTGACCATGAAGTAGAACAGCAAAAGTACTAATAGAGGCTGTGTATTCAAAGGGAAAAAAAGGAGGGATCTTTTGATTTATATGTTGTTTTTTGCTCTGAGCTCATTGATTGAAGCATAGCATCTCTCTATGCGTGGATTAAGGTTGAAAGCCAGTTGAATAGCTGTGATATCCAGTCCCCCAGGCTGTGTGGCACTGTAAGCTTTATATAAAAGAAATTGTATATCTATGTATACGTGTATAAATGAAAAAAATTCATAAAGAAGGTCCAGAAATGCTGTAACCTTCTAAAGGCTGAAATTAATTTAAAGACTGAGATGAAGCTATGAATGCCCAATTGTCTGACTGTTCAAAGTATGACATTTTTATGAAAATCATTCAGCAGATTATCAATAACTAGAAGCACTGAAATGGTGTGTGTCTGCATTACAGTGCATGAATAATCATTAATGCTTAATGGTAGCACTGAAGCAGACTTTTCGCATCCAGACAAGCATTTTATATCTTTTCTCATTTGGAATATGTCAAGCAAACAGTCAAACATGGTTCATGGATGCATTTAATTCTGATTTAATCTTTAAATACTGTTAACTAAATGCATCCAAGTAAATTATTTCCACAACCAAAAGGCAGCTAAGTCTGCTGTGTTTTGTATAGCAGCAACCAAACGGCCATATAACCCAAGAGGGGGAGGACTTAGAAGAGTGCACCCACATACACACAAATAAGAAAACAAAGAAACATTTAAAAAATGGATTACCAGTGTGGTGCAATAAGAAATAAACATTATGTAAACAAGCTGCTTATGCCACCACTATAGATTAACTGTAGGGCTGTGCTGCTGAGTGTCTCTAATTAGTATTCATTATTTCCTCGTCTTTAGAAAAAGACACGTTTATCTTAAAACAGGACAAATTTAGGTAATTATACAAGTCAAGCAAGATTAAACTATTATTACTAGTATACATTTAAACATTCAAAGTACAGAAAGCCTATTTCATAAATATTATAAATGATTCCATTTGACAATATGGATTGAGGAAAATATTGACAGAAGACACAGATGCTGATTATTCATTTAACCATTAACTCTGTACAAGTCAAGTTACAGTGACTTGATTTGGCCATTAACGGGACAAGTAGACCATGGCCTGTTTTTTTTAAGACACTGTCTTTAAAGTTTATTATTAGAAAATATTTCACTGTTTTTAACCAAATGCATGGACTTTGTGGTGCATGGTGAACTAGTCTGTTGAACAAACTGACTTTCAGAAATCTTAAGCAAATTATTCAGCAAAGTGGTCAAAAGTTTTTTTTAACCCCCTTTTTTTTTTACCTCTCCCCAAGTCGGCCTCCAATTTAACTAAAGTGTTGCTTGAAAAAGTTGAATGTGTTTGATGGTGAAACTGTCAGGCCTGTTAAGCCAGATCCAAGCTGTGCTGAGTTTCACAACACACCTAGCTGGGAACGCTTTGCATCACAATAAATCAGGCACATTATTACAATCATAGCAAACTGTGAATCTAGGCGTATGTGTGTTCTAGCGTGAAACACCACATGAGTATGTATGTACAAGCTAAACCAGTGGAGCAGAGATGGTTTCTAATTCACAGTACAATGGCATGCTGTCACAATACACACTCCCTTATTGCATGTGGAGGTGTAGCCCGACTATGGTTCAATTTAAGCCTACAAACAGACAGGAAGGACCAGTTTGGAAAAGTTGCTGATCTCATGTATGGGTGTTTAACCAGAATCAAAACAACTGTATGGAAAGATTTAATCAGTCAAGCTGAAAAGTTTCTTTGATAACTTTGCGTTTTTCTTTTATATTGATTATTTTAATCAATTTACAATAAATTTACATTAAAAAGATTTTGACCCATAGATAAAAGAACATTGTTAGTACTTGTTGTTATTTAATTTGATCATTTTCATTACTTTGGTTTTAATCTTTGGCACCACAATTTGATTATAACCCCAACATTTATTGTAATGTTTTAATAGAACAAAAGAAAAATAATCGGATGCAATCCTTACAGATGTTACCAATTTGTATTAATGAAAGGTTTGAATACTGGAGGACAACGATTGGATAGACAAAAGTTGAACAATTTGTACTGGACAGCTATTTGGCATATGCTGAAATACGGCAACTAAAATTCATAGACGTCCATTTTACTGCATTAATGTATAACTAACATGACATTTAAAAATTAAGTATAGACATAGATACGTTTTAGAGCGCTTCTTGCGCAATAGTCAAGCTTTTCACCCCACTAAATTTCACCTCTATCTGAGAACTACAAAAAACAATGCACGGTACATGGCGTGTCCCTTTCTGTTCCTGCCAATCGGTGATTGGTCGTTTTGTTTCGTTGACTCCGCTGATTGGATAACGGCTGCTCATGCGAGTAGCGTCACGCTCTGATTGCCTCACTAGGACTAGTCCAGACCAGCAGCTACACAGTCAGATACCTTTCGGTGGGGAGAGGAACTGGGTCACAGCAACAACTCTGTGTCAACTGTAACACATCACCCAGAACAGCGACTCCTCCTCAGGCACCCAGACCAGGTGAATTATACAACTAACTTTTTAAGGCTCTAATTGCTATTGTTGTTTTTCTATCTTTTTTTCAGACTGTTATATATCACCCAGTACTTTCCCAGCGTAATGTTAGCGCCTTCCTGAAGGTAACCTGGCAGCTAGCAGCTTTGCTATCCAGCTAATTCTGGCTGTCAAAACAACAGAGAAGCATAATCTGCTAGCAGCGACAGAGCACAGCTTTGTTTTTCTCTTTACGAAGCATTGTTACGCACCTGAGGGCAATATTTGGCATCTTTAAAGACAGGCAGCTTGATGGGGGAAACTGTCAAACTGTACCCGAGCAGCGGTAAAGAGTTTTCTGCTTTCTTTCGGACGTGGCAGCTCTTTTTAGCCGACTAGCCAGTTCGCTAGCTCGGTGTAAACAAACCATCATCACAGCCTGCCGACGAGCTGCAGTATGCCCCTTTACCTTCTGTCACAGCTCATGTCAAATATTTTTCGAGACATTTTTCTACAGTTGAATGTTTTATTAAGAAGTACTCGGTTCCTATACATGTGTTTCATGTAAAGTGCATGACATGTTGTCACTATCAACAAGGTAGTCTGAGTGGAGTTTTGGCTTTCTTTGTCTGGCTTGCTCGCCAGTGTTGACTTCCTAGGGACTGTTGTTGAGACTGATGATGTATTTACTTTGCTGAGATTGATGCTACATTTAGTAGTTCTATTGCTATTTTTGTGATTATTTTAGTATTATTATTTTTTAAAAAGACCTATCAACTATGTGTATTGTATTAAACAGAAAAAAGCTGACACTGAGGTTCTATTTGTTTGATCAAAAAACTGTCCTCTTTGGGCTCAGCCCAGTTAGTCTTGGGTATTATAACAGGCTTTGCTTTATAGTTTATTGACTTGTTTTAATCACTTTATGGGTAAAAAAAACTACTTGTGACTAATAACAGGGTTATGCATAGTTTTTTAATTCACATCTAAAACATATTCTCACAACTTTTAAATTGAAGACTGACAATTTACAGTTATTTTCTGAGTAAGCATTTGCCAACTATTCAAAGAAGACTTGCTTAGCTATATGCAAGTCTGTGAATGATTTTCATCAATTTCACACTGTAAACAGCTATTACTTGTCAATTTGTGTGACCGCTGCTTCCAAGCATCAGATGAGATTCACATTTTTCTTACTTATTTTTTGTGTTGAGGCGTGCACCGTCTGCTCATCCTATGCTGTTGTTCATATGTCATTTCAGTTTGCCACTAAAGCATTAGATCATCTTATAAATATTTCATGGGCTTGGTAGCTGACAGCCTGTTTTTCTTGAAACCAAACTTTAACAGTACACTCCCTGCAATTATCTTGCATGAGATAAGCTGTCTTTTATCACGGAGAATCTTGTTGTTCTTTTAATTTATTTTCACATTCTTACTTCTGTTTTTAAACATAAATTTCCCTTGCAGTTCGGACCATTTTGGACTTTTTCCTGTTATAAGTTCTATGGGCCCCTTACACATATTTTTTTACTTCTACTTTGCTCCTTGACATAAGCACATGCATGTATCATTGTTCTCATATATGCATGGTTTTTGCTTTTAAAAAACCCTGCTCCTATAAGCATGATGTAAGACAGTTATTGAGCATTATGTCATGCTTTTATACGGGAAGTACTGCTCAGTAGAAAATGTAATGAAGTCTGTCTTTGACAGTGTGCAAGACAGGAGCGCAGCTAATCTTAGCTCATAAGAATAGTAAATATGTCATAGTTAGATGGATCACAAGGAAAATACTAGTGCTTTCTCTCTAAAATGCTCTTCTTCTGCCCTGCTTTTTTTTCTTCCTCCAGAAGTTGAAGATTTGTGTCTTTGCTTTGTGAAAAACAAAACAAAAAAAACAATCACACTTTAAACTTCTTTATTTTCACTATGCTGTTGCCTAAATAAGTATACAGATACATCACTTGCATATGCCCAGCAAAACAAGCTTATGTTATGTTAATTACAATAAACCCTTTATAACCCCAAAGTCTCAGAGGATAAATACAGAAAATGTTGGAATGCTGTGTGGTGAGACTTAACTAAACAGAAATGTGTTGCTATTTGAGCAATATTTATTTTTTAGCATTTGATACTTGTACTTGCTGATATTTATTAAGTAAGAAAGCAATTGAATACCTGTTTAACTTATTAATGATTTACACATTTTTTGTTAGAATTTGCCATGTTTATTATTTCCCATCATATGCAGTCAGATTTTTAGTGCAAAGCTAATAAGACTGATTAAAATGAACATTAATAGATTCATTATAAAACAGTCTTTGTCTAAAGTGTCAACTGTTATCTTCACATTATAATGCAACCCTTTATGAATGACTCATTTGTGACCTTAACATGATGTTTGAGAAGACGTCATAACATTAACTAACATAATAAAAAAGGCACCAACTCAATTTTTCATCATAACGGAATTTATTAAAACCTTATTTGTAAAAGCTACAATTAGTTCATTTTGAAAATAATTATGTTGAAGATGTGTTTTCATTCCCTGTTTTCCATTGCACACTTAGTATTTTTACTCATGGTTGAGACCCTCCTTGCACCCATGTTGTTGTTGTTACTACGTTGTACATCATGTGTCCTCAGCGCTGTGTGCTCGGAGCCCTACAGGAGTAATGAAATTCCAGGATGATTTGCCATGTGCATTGATTAAGTGATACTTTTTTGAGGATTCAGTTGCACTCACAAGTACTAGGGCTTTGGATTTTGCAACTGTTCAGCTCTGGAGAGCTAACAAACACTTAGAAGATACTAGATAATGTTTTAAAATGTGATAATTGCATTATTGATTTGGTGTTGATATCCAACATGAAATCCCAGTTTTCGTTTGATTTTTGGCAGATTTTTGTTTTGTATTAAGCCAAAAATGGAAAAGAATGGAAAAGACGTTTCACTGTCACCTAACGAATGACCCATATTTTTTCTTTTTCTTTCGTTAAACCAACCACCATGTCCATCAAGTGTGTATTTTTGGTAGCAAGCACTTTCTGTACAAACTGCCAGGCAGAGAAGAAGCGTGTGTCTGTGGTTAACGTCACAATGGCTCTCTTTGTTTGAGCTCTCAATCATAAGACTCCTGGCAACTGGATCAGAAACTCGCTGCGGTATCAGGACACCAAGGGGCACCCACTTTGCTCATGCTCTTTAGATATCACATGTTAGCATTGACTTAGAATCCAAACCAGCTGGCACTTAGTCTCAGATGTCCAACGTCAATTCATATAAAAAGCTAACCCCACCCACGTGTGGCTCAAAGTTAGTCCGAGTTGAACTAGCCTGTTTTTGTGCTAACTAGTCCTTAGCGGTAGAAAAGTAGAGACAGAAGGGACGTTGTGCTTTGATGGGTGTGTATATTTGAGACGTATTTAACTGCTGGTCTCACTGCAGCTTCATAGTCCTAATGAACAGTTGAAGTAATCATATGGTTTCCAACAGCAGGTTTACATTACTGCTCAGCAGCCACGCATGTAAAGGAAAACCTTTCACCAGCCTCCAGCCAGAGGACAGACAGGAGAAGATGTGTGAGGGGACAGAGCAAAGACACACCTGGATACAAGAGCCCCAAAGTAATACTAGAATTAGAAATACGATTTCAGTTATCCAGATAGATTAATTCATAGAAACAAAACCACAGGACATCAGCAGAGGTTTACTTTAAAAGTTCCATTAACAGCTCACTCTGATTTTGACTTTGAAGCCAGCGATCTTTGCTCTTTTATTATCCGGTGAGAGCAGTAACGCGAAGAAAAGATTGTGTTGGATTATTGACCAGGTTCAGGCGTTATTCAGAGGGCATCGTTCAGATGTATTGTCACTGGAAATTAGTTTTATCTTATTGAGTTTATAGTGTTTGAGCTGATAACAGCAAAAAGAACTCTTCACCAAAGGTTGAAGTCTCTGAGCTGTTTTACTTTTGAGTGGACATTGATCTTTGAAAACTGATGTGCCAGAGGATCCAATAATATGTTCACAACTTAGTAAACTATGTACACATTTAAAAGTGCCTAAATAGGTTTTGTTCAGTACAAACAGATCAGTACAAACTTGTTTAGGTTGTTTTAAACAGCCAGGCCTGTGCAACCTGTTTTTACGGTCTTGGTTGAATATGTGTTGAATGTCACCTGAAAGCTGAGCTTCATGCTGATGCAGTAAAACACAGACAGAAGTTTTTCCTAATCAGAGACGTCCTGATCCTTATGGGCTTTCTTTTATATTTCATGGCTTTGTGTCGGAAACATTAAAATGAGGAGAAAATATAATGTTGCTTTGCGAGAGAGAAAGTTTATGTGCTACGCCATGATGCTACTGTTGGTTTTGGTGACTGTGTGAGAGGGAAACAATGCAGCAGGTGACGGGCCACAGGCCATATCTGATGAGTGACTCATGCTGCGAGTATACATGACAAACACATACAAATATGGAGCAGGAAGAACGTCCTACTTATATCTTTTTGTCGAGTTTAGTCATGTTGCTCACTTTTTCTGTAAAATGTCGGCCAATGTGTTTTTGAACCCTCTATCATAGAGACAATATACCAGTAATAGGGTTAACTGGAACAGAGTCCTCTTGGAGACAGTGCATTCATTTGTTTTTTAGGTATTTTCAACACACTCGTGTCTCCTAATATTCTGAACTTTAACTTAGTTTTTGCCAACCAAGTTATCTGAATGTCACCATGAGAGATACTATTTATGCAAAGAACAAAGTGTGTCCATGTCTTTACCAACCCACTCTACATAAGAAGAATATTAGCCATAATCCAGTCTTTGTAGATTAGAGTTGCTTTGTCGTGTGGTTCACGGCCTTGTGATTAAAAGGTTCTAAGAAAACAACAGCTACTCCAGTTTGATACAGTAACTGTTATGTCTGCATGCTTGACCATAGCTTTAATTTTTGCCATTGATGGAGAGACTGTACAGTACTTCCAGTTTTGAGCCTGACCTTTGTTCCACATTTGCTTCCTGCTGAATGAGAGCAAATAATTTGCTTACCTCCAAACAGGCTCTGACCTACATTTAAGTACTCTTACTCAACATCTGCACATTCTTGCACTTCTCTGGAATAGTTTAAAATCTGGCAGCTAAATGATGTCTCAAAGCAATAATTTTCATGACTTTCAGAAATGTTTTCTGCCCTCCCCTTTAATATAGTTTTTGTTCCCCTTTAGTTTAGAAGAAGTAGCACTTTGACCTACATTCTGACTACTGCCTTCATCAGCTGTTAGCCAAACATTGTATTCTTGTAAGGTCAAGAGAAAACAGATAAAATCACCCGTTATTCAAATAAAAAGACATACATGTTTTGTACGTACAAACCGTTGACAAAAATAGATCATCAGCACACTTTTTTAGAGCAAGAGGGGATCCACCTCTTTTATTCCACTTCCACTTTCTACACCTGCCACCTCTGCACCACTTCTTCTTTTTCTTAAAGAGAAAAACCAAATCAATTCCCACTGACACTTTTTGTGCAGCTTTCATTGGTTTTTGTTTTCGTTCTGTCTGTTTCTTTTTCCGTCTTTTGCTCTGAATTAAGGCGGGTTAGTGTATTTGCTTCTGGATGGAAAAGCCTTATCAGTACCTTACCAGTAACTAAGTCCACACTGCTCAGACACGAGTCTAATTTGATTTTCATTTGTACAATTTTCTGATTTGTTTTTGTGACTAGAGAGCCACTTAGAACAGTTATGATCACTAACTAGAAAAGAAGGAGCAGAACACATATGTTGTTCATCTCATTAATAATGTCATCAGCTACATTTATATATGTTTTTTTGGTGTTTCTGATAGAAAATGAGCTGTGAAATATTGCTCATTAGTGATATACTTATTGATAACACACTGAAAATAAATACTGTTGAATCAAAGTTCAGTTTTCATTTAGATTGAAATGAATGCGGACGTGGCTGATCAATACATGTAACTCTGTAGCTTCCTCCCAAATGTTAACACTTACAAAGCTGTCTATATGATTTAATCTGAGCAAAGAGTTCATCTGGATCGAAGTTACCATCAGTAATATTGATAATTGATATTTAAAAACTTCCATTTTCACAATTGACTGTCGTGCTTGGTTGTACCTAAATAAAAAGGCGTTGAAAGGACAGAAAGCTGAGGTTTAAGTTTCAGTAAAGGGAAATGTAGCTATTGAGGTTATTATTGAGCAGGTGTTTAGCCAGCAGATCATGGATGCCGTTGACTGCTTGTGTCCCTTTTACCCCTGCCCCCTGTTGATCCCTGAGGGCGATAAACTTGAGCATGGTCTGTTTGTTGAACGCAACGCACTCTGAGGCTTTAACAGCAAAAATAACTGCTATGTATGTAGCTCATTTATGAGCTGCTGTGATCATAGTTGCCCCACATGAAACGGCTGATGAGTCATCGTGCAGCATGTCGTGAACAGTACGTTTCAGCTGCTCTCTCAGAAGTGAAACGTCTTGGGAGGTCTCTGGACCCTAGGAAGAGCCATTTGGTTTGGATGTATTAACAGAAGAAAAAATATCATACCCTCTTTTTTTTTTGTCCCTCCACTTTATTTGAATTTTTTTATTATGGTTTTTCATGAATATTATTTCTGATCGTTCGGCTTTATTCTGTCTGTTCAGTTGTTTTTCTGACGTAACCACTTAGTTTCTGTGTAATTCACATGATTGTGTTGACAGATGAAGCTTTAGGGGTCCTGCTGAGTTTGGCCTGCGACTGTCCTAAACTTTAGATTGCTCAGCTCTGTACTGAGTTGTTTAGCCTACAACTTTTTAGTGTTTTAGTTCACTCTTACCTCTCCCCAGAGTTTTTTATCTTTTTTTTTCTTGCAGAAGCATACATAAAACCCCACATCAGCTTTTTAAATTGTCACGAGGGCTGTTTGTTCTCGAGTAGCAATCAGGTCAGAAGGGACTATTATCTTGGGAACTCACTGTATCAGCAAAAACGCCCTTCAAAAGATGTTTATTCCATCAGTAGCCTTAACTTTTCGCTATTACAAAAAATTAGGGTGTAGGTACTCAAGAAAAGTGCTTGGGCAGTTTTTTCTAAAAGTTGATAGGACATAGCAGGAAAAGGGGAAGTCTGATCACTGATATTTTCACTGAATTCTTTGTAAACCTTTCTTATAGTTGCCCACTTGGTGTACAGATCATGCCTTGTTTGTCTGTTCTTTTGTGTTTACCTTTTCCCCTTGAGATTATAACCCTTTAATGTATATGCAGTGGAACATGGACGTTTAAATTAAGTTCAGTGCTCGCCTTGGGGACCTGATGACATTGACATGGCCCCTCTGGAGCACACATTGTATATCTGTTTTTGAGAGACGAAAAGGCAAACGTAAAGAGTCTGAACATACAACAGCATTTATGATCAATTATTAAGATAATAGAGCTTTGCAGCATGCACATATAGGGCTAAAAGTTTTCTCGATGATTCTGTTGTTACCTTTATTTACTGGGCGCTCCTGGTCGGATGCAGTTCTGAATATGGCAGCACTGGTATCTTCACGTTTGATTCTTTGGCTGTTCTCAAATCTTTGGCTGTTAATATCCGTCTTTTTTCTTAACACGTATCTTGCAAAACTGTAGACTGATTTAAAAAAAATGCAAAATTGCTTTTTCAACAGTCGTGCCACGCTCTGAAAGACATTTGACTATTTTTGACTTTGGATATAGGGTTTTGATCTTCATAGGCCACAACCTTACTTGTTACACAAATACACGTAATGGAGCTTTTTTTTCTGCTCCAAGCTGTAAAAAATGATAATATGGTCAAAATACTCACTTGCCTAATAACTGTTCAGACAATGTACACTTCACGATTGTGACATCTTCCTTTTAAAAGCAGCTTAAGTTTGCTTTGCTGTCACTTCTTGTCGCTGTTTTCAAGCTGGATCTGTGCAGTTACACAATTTCTCAACAGGGAACACATCTACTTCCTGTGTGTGAATCTCCCGTTCCTGTCCTTGACACATACCGTCGCTAAGCAACTCACCATGACAGCAACTTGGCAGATCTTAATTGGCTGCGACTGTTATTAGTTGCATTATTTTAAGGCCTTGATACCATGAGCAAGTTTTTGGAGTGAGCCAAAGCATCTACCAAGACTACCTTTATCTGGAGCTTTAATTTAAACTAAAACCTGCCCCTCTAATTATATTTTGTGTTTTGTTTGTTCGGGTCAGCATTGTGATGCTGAGATTTATCTGCTACCACAGAACATAATTTTTTCCCCCTATTTTTTATTTAGCTTTTATCACTATGAATATCTTGGTTTTCCCATAGATGGGAAACAGAAACTGAGCTTCATAACTGTGATATTTCCATAGTTGTTGCTTTATGATGAAAAATGAGACTTAACTTATTTTCTTGTCTTCTCTTTCTCCCAATTTCTATTCATTTCACAGTTATCTCCCCCTGGATCGGAGTCAAACTAACTGTCCTGTAAACATCATCACCTAGATTCAAGGTATTTACTCCACATGAAAGATTTGTCCTCCACAGATCCACTTCAGTTGTAATTTATTTTTTATTATGCTGAATTGTGACTATTTTTTGGTTGCTCCTTTGCTTGATCAGGTTGGGTTGTGTTCCGCCCAGAGTCTTCTGCCCAGTCCTAGCGGAGTTCGTTCAGTTTTCAGTGGGGACAGTCCAGCCTTCCAAGCTGGACGGAGGAGAGACGAGCGGGGCCGATGGCCCGGCGTTTGTGCTGCGACACAGAACTTCCACTTTGCCAGAAAACCCCACAGACTGCACACCTACTGATCCCATGAGTCCACGGGAGAAAGAAGACACCCCCACCTCAGGTTCCTCAACCAGCCACCTCAGCCGCGCAGAGTGCCCCTCACACAACGGGGTGAGAGCCTGACACACACATGCATAGTGACCCGTCCAGAGCCATGTCGTGTGGGTTTAGTAGGTCAAACAGTAAGAGTATCTCACCACAACACACATCCTCACATCAATAATAGAAAAGCTGCTGTTTGTGGGGAGGAAACTGATGCTGGCCAGTCTGGAGCCACGTACTGGGGTTCACTGCCTGAAACTGAACTGAGCAGCCTGTGTTAAGCATCACACACAGGTCCTTCTGCTCTCATGCAGATAAGCTAATTACATTCAAGTGATTTTCTAACTCATAAACAAACATTAAAAGCACTCATTCTTTTTGCTGCGTAAGCTCTTGACAGGCTCATGAGGAGATCCTTTAAAGATCTATTATGTCTAGATATGAGTATAGGGATCTTTTAAAAAAACTATTTCAGACTAATTGGGCTTCTTTTGATAGAGTACAGCATGTTTTCATCTTGGGGAGATTACCCTTTTGTACCCTTTCAGCAAAGTTCCTTAAACGTGGTGGATTATCTCAAGCGTTGAAGTACAAAGCAGACGGGGGGCATTCAGGGGCATAAAGACTGAACTTCGTTACATCATCATAAGTGCATTTAGCAGAGTAGAGGATGTTTCATAAACATAGAAAAAGAAAACTTTGTTCTTGAAGCTTGATTTAACACGGTTTACAGTTTGATCACAAGTCTGCTTCCAAAGGCTTTCAACCTCCACCGCCTCCTCTTATTGACAACCTCACTACCTTCAGGGAGATGCAGACTGGATGAGAGCGGCTCTGTGTTATAGTAATTAACGCTGCATTATGATGGAGTTGTCTCTGCTTCTGCATGTTGACTTCTACTTCCACTCAAGGTCCAAAGTGATTTGATGTCGTTAAGGTTTGCAGTACCAGAAAAAGACACGCAACGTCTATAAACAGAGATATTCCTGGTAAGAAAGTAAACACTTTCCCAGAAAACTCTGAGAGCATCCCACGAACGCAGTCTGTCGAATTGATCAAGCAAATGTGTCAGACACTCTCCCTCCGAGGCATGCTTGTGTTCTTTTTTTAGGCTGCGCCTGTGCATGCGGTCAAAGCTGCCGTTCATTGTTTGGCGTGAAAGGCAAACGGTAGAGAACCGCCGGGCTGAAACACAATAGCGGTTCAGTGTGTCTATTGTGTCTGCTTATGCATGTGTGTGTTTGTTTGCCTTTTACCTGTTGTAACACAACACGGATACCTGAGGAGGCGTTGGAGGCCTAATGCCCCAGCCGGCAGGTTCAGCCCGTCTCAACGCCCCACAGGCTGCCATTTGAATTTTTCAACGTTTTGCGGTTTCAGTTTTCAACATTTCTTTGGGGTGTTAGCGTGTCTGGGAGCTTGTGGTGTAGCCACAGAGCTGGTACCACGCATCCTGTTTAACATCAGATTTGATTGGTTACTTTGATTGGCTGTCGTTACAGCCAGGGGTGTGGTAGATGGCTCCTGACTGGATTTTTGAAGTACCCCTTTCCCATGGCTTTGTATTATTTACCTTTTTTTGTTCAGAGACAAACCAAAGACACACCAATCTAAAAACTTCTCTGACTCTGTGACTAAACTAGTATGTGCCATGTATTTTTATTTACTTGTAGCGTGTATGTGTGTCCAAAGTCCTTTCTCCATCTGATGAGACAAGAAAATAAACCTAAAAACTTTTAAGTAGCTTTAAGAAATAAAACCCTTTGATTTAAGCCCCCCAGCTGTGAGCTGTTAGATGGAAATCAGGGTCACTTTGGTGCCGTGTTAATGCAGATTTTCCATGCCCCTCTTTATGGCCACAGGCTAAAAAAGAGAACAAAGTGTGTTATGTGTGCGTTTTTGAACATTTTGGACTTTTGTAAATGAGATATTTTTTCTACTTCTGTGAATCACGTGTTGAATCTATTTTTTGTGGCACAAAGGTTATTGTGTACAGGGGGGAGCTCTTTCCTCTCTGGGCCATTACACGTGCAGACTGTCCTGTCAAATGTCCACAGAGCTTCATTCCTGGTGTCTGCTTCCTGGATCCCACCCACAGCTGACTTTGTTTACCATGAACTGAAAGTTCTGTGAGCTTTTTTCTCAAATACCTCCTCCCTTCGTTTGATTTTTTTCACAGACTTATTTCCTGCCAGGGGACTGTTGACTTCTGCAAAAACAAATATAAACTTCATAGCACTCCTAGAACACAAACGTGAGACTGGTACATGTAATTAGTCACATAAAAGTACTTAGTTAAAACTACACTCAGAACAGTTAATGAGTCTGAAGGGAGTTTAATGCATGTTTTTGTTTTTTCCCTTTTTTGTGGCCAAGGAGGGGCCTCGTCTTCAGGGGGTTAAATGAAAAACTGCTTCATTTAATCTCAAGCAGACAGCAATCTCCAGAGATCTCTTGAGCACATGTCTGTATATCATCCCAGACAAAAGCTCATGCTTTTGTGGAACATGAAAGCTTAAAGCCTTCAAACATATTTTGTCCTACTCTGTGAATAAGTTTGTGCTCTTAACCAACTAAAAATGAAAATGAATACTTTGCTAAAATTAGCCAAAACACAAGCTACCTTTCAGAAGCCATTCTTGCCACCTTAAACCTCATGAAACATCTCTGGATGGAATTATTAGTTAATTTTATGTTTAACTTATGGTTAGCTTTTTTGTTTTTGTCCCATTAAAGGAGAAACAGACAGCCTCTCACTCTGAATAAAGAAAAAATGGATGATGATAGAAAATTGCCATGTGACCGAGTTGCCTAACTGTGTTGTTGAATGTTTGGGTGTGTCTGGTATTCACTGATAATTGCAATCACTCTGTTTATCAGACGCAGATTGCAGCTACATGTAACCCATGCACGATACCAGATTAAAAATTGCTGCTTACAGAGAGGAGAGCCAAGAGTGTGCCACCCTTTTAAAAAGGGCGGAACGCGTTTGTGAATCACCTTTCTTTTGGCTTCTGCATGTTGACACATTTCCTGTTAAACCTGAAGTCAGCATAGCTGGAAAATTCAAAGTGGGCTCTTATTGGTCTGCTGGCCTGATGAGACACCACCTTCCACCCATTTAAGCTCTGGGATACAAGGTTGGTAAACTCCTCTGGAGAGCAGAATGAGTCACCAACAATTTGGATATTTTTCCAGAAAGGACTGACTTCCGATTAGGAAAATCTCCTAAATGTACTTCTACAAAGCTGTAGTCTTTCATTTAAAATGACCTTCGGGTCATTCTTGTTGGTCTGTGGTGAGATGTTGATGATGGGTAGTCAGCATAAGGATGTGTCAGATGAGCCGCCATCGAGCCTGCCTGACGTCCAGACCGGCTTAATCACACGTGCTGATCTGTTGTTGCTCTGGTGAACTCTGTTAGCCGAAGATGGACATTTCCCAGAGGAAAGGGATCATATCTTTGGCCACACACACACATGCACGCTTCCATGCAGGGCGAAATCTGACTCCAGCACCTCTGCCCTAATGACTTGTTGGAGACTGGACGGCTGAGGTTGAGTCACGTGCTGGAGGCTGTTTGTCAGCCTAAATGTGAGCTCAGCAATGTTTGAGGGGTGGCCCAAATTTCCAAGAACATGGGCTTGCTTCAGTTCTACATCCTCTTCCTGGCTGCATGTTATTCATGCAGTAGTTTCAGCAGACAGAGTACATCCAGCCCTCTCAGTCACCTGCTGCTAAACATCAGCCCCGTGGCTTTGGTGGGGTTCGGCTGAACTGATGGTTCACAAGAGACATCAGTCTTCTTTTCTTAAGCAACTTGTTTTCTGCCTGTCATTTTTTTTTAATTTACGTATTTTTTAGACTTAGTTTTTTCAGTCTACCCTCGTTGCCATCTTTGATGTCAATGGAACCAGAATGCAACACCTATATTGAGCAGGATTAGAGAGAAAATCCCTCTGTGACGAAGCTAAGCGAAAGCTGTGACAGTTTTTTACGATGTCTGATATCAAGTGAAACCCGTTACGCCCCAAAACGTCTCACAAGCTAACTGATTTGCATTAGAGCTGGTTTTATTTTGTTTGCATTAATGTGGTGATATACTGATCAGCACCAGTCATTTCTATGGAATTAAGCAGGTAGTGCCGTGTTTACCACTTATGAGAACATGACCCGGTGACATTTTCGCAGGGCAGAGGATGGTACTGAGTTGTTTTGTGTATTTATAAATATTACATACTGACTTCTCTGGAATGTTTGCGTTTTGACACCCCTGATGTCTCAGATGAATTACACACACAAACACAGATGTGTGTGTCATCTTTCCTACACCACAGATAACTGACATGTCTTCTCATGCTGGTTTGGTGGATTCATGAAACCACAGCAAGCCTCGACTATCAGAAACTAAATATGCATTTCCACAGAAGACGGCTCTACAGAAACAGGAAATTTTCTTTCAAATTTGCTGCTTTTTTCTGAGTTAGTCCGGTATTATCTAATTGAATTTCATTCCAAGTCTTCCTCTTGGAAAAGTTTCCTATATGTGTGTGATTATGATGGTCAGGAGGTTTCATGAAATAATCAGTGATTGTCATGTTGAATTTACATTCTACATGAATCAGGGTCATGTCAACCCAGATGCAAAAAAATCTCCCATATACACCAAAGCCGATTGATGTCCAACATTTCCAGCTCATTCTTCCATTAAAGATTTAAGAAATGTGTTATTAACAATCGGATTTATCTTGTAATAGTGTGAATTGTTCTTTTCAGAGCGTTCCGGAATCCGACGAAGAGAGAAGAAGAAATGAAGAAGACAACAGAGGAAGAGACGGAGAGGAGAAGGAGCATGAAGAGGAAGAGAGAGGCAGTGATGAAGGCTTTATGGGAATGACTCCACTGCTACAAGCCCACCATGCCATGGAGAGAATGGAGGAGTTTGTACACAAGGTAAACAACAAACGCACAATGTTTTCCCATCAGTCCATTCATTGAAAACGTATCTATGTAAATGTTTATGGTGATTTTATCTCTTTATCTGTCACGGCTCACTGAATTTGTTTATAAGGAGGTATTTTTATAATGTTATTTATGTTTTATAAACTGTGTGACTCAATAAACTCCCATAATAAAGGGAACTAATAAAACCATTAAAACAAATAAGGGAGTCTTAGTAAAACTACGGTTACTTGCTCACTGTATAATCCATAAGTCTGGACAAGAGCGGAGTGGAAAAGGTCCAACAGACAGGAGATTACAGAAATCAAACCAGTACAACTCGTTCAAGAGTGCAAGATGAGCGAAGGCTGCAGATGTCTGACCGATTTCTTCCTGAGGAAGCTTTCATTTTTCAAACACTTGATATCATTTTTAATCCTATGCAAACATTAAGAGTGAGCTTGTGTATTTTAGTTGAACTCTCCCACACATACGGACTCTTGGCTTCCAGCAGGTAATAAAATAATAGAATTAATCCCTGAGTGGAAACCATCAGTGTTTTTGCTCTCCTCTATGTCAGCCGTGTTTACCATATTGAGCTGCACTTTATTTACACCACTTGACCCCAATGCTGTTCATCTGACACCTACACTTCACCACCCATAATCATGTACTGTACTTGACCTAAGCACTATATTTAGGCCATTTAAAAAACAACCTCATGCACGTCATTAGAAACTATGATGTCTATATTTGATTAGAAGTGATTTTTAACATGAATGTTTTCTACTGATAAGGTTAATTAAGATTTTTCTGTATCCTTTTTTTAACCAATCAGGTGTGGGAAGGTCGGTGGCGTGTCATACCTCACGACGTGCTGCCGGACTGGCTGAAAGATAACGACTTCCTGCTCCACGGTCACAGGCCACCAATGCCTTCATTTCGCGCCTGCTTCAAGAGCATCTTTAGAATCCACACAGAGACGGGGAACATCTGGACACACCTGCTAGGTAAGACGCAAACCTGCTCACTGACACCGCCACCTAATCTAAACACGTTAGTGTCCAGCCAAATTCAGAAATAATCAGACTTTCTCAATCACAAAAAAACCTGTAAAACTACCCAAGCTGTAGTCTTGTTATGGCACCATACACTAGAAGAGTGTTGAAAGCTGCTGTTTCTTCTCTATGCTGCCCCCTGGTGGTGTGACAGAGATGATGCACTTAGAGGTGCTGTAGTGAATATGTCTGCTTTTGGTTTATTGTGGATCCTGCAACAGTAACTTTTATGTAAAAGTAGGGTGATACAGCAGCAGGTGGATACAAATTTTGTGCAAATCTTGTAGACAACATATGACACATGTCACTCAAATCCCTCTCATTCTGTCGTGTTGTCTCTCCACAGGCTGTTTGTTTTTCCTCTGTCTGGGCCTCATGTACATGTTCAGGCCCAACATGTCTTTCGTGGCTCCGCTCCAGGAGAAGGTGGTTATCGGGATGTTTTTCCTGGGAGCCATCCTCTGCCTCTCTTTCTCTTGGCTCTTCCACACAGTCTACTGCCACTCGGAGGGCGTGTCCAGAGTATTTTCCAAGTAAGACAAACATGCTTTGAATGTTCTACAGTAACAAGATCTCTTAAAGCAACTCTTTAACTCTTCAACTGTGTTGTGTCCTCCTCAGGTTGGACTACAGTGGGATTGCCTTTCTCATCATGGGCTCCTTTGTCCCCTGGTTGTACTACTCTTTCTACTGCTCCCCCCAGCCCTGCTTCATCTACCTTATAGTGGTGTGTGTCCTGGGACTGGCTGCCATCACTGTCTCCCAGTGCGACTTCTTTGCCACTCCACAGTACAGAGGAGTCAGAGCAGGTAAAGTAAAAATGTTGATCTTTTTTTATCTTATGTGCTGTGATCAGAATCTGTATCACTGAAAGGGTTTTATTACTCCTGACTACAAAGAGAATGATAACATTGGCGTTGTTCCCATTGACACAATTGGCAGATGTTTTACTGTGTGAGCATCATGCAGCCTGTTCAGAGAGATGAAGGGAAGTACGGAAAATAAGGAATCGTTTGACCAGTCAGAGCAGACAGGTTCTTGAAATAAGAGAGGTTTTAAAGGCAAAGGAGCTAAAGCCAAATTAAATTAAATGGTACTTTTATTAGAAGCAGTATGTATTTTTTGTGTTTTGAAGCATGTAAACATTCTAGTAGACCTCTAAAAATAAATATTACCTTTAAAAAGAGCATCCTTTTTTTTTTTTTTTTAAACAGATGCATACTATAAGTAGGTGCCCTGATGAGGTAGCGATGTATCTACATTTTTATTCTTTGTTCTCAGGTGTGTTCGTGGGTCTGGGACTGAGCGGCGTCGTTCCCACCCTGCACTTTGTTATCAGCGAGGGTCTGATCAGAGCAACCACCATTGGTCAGATGGGCTGGCTGTTCCTCATGGCGACGCTCTACATCACTGGTGCCTGTTTGTACGCCGCTCGCATCCCTGAGAGGTTCTTCCCTGGAAAGTGTGACATCTGGGTGAGCGTCTCAATAAGCAGCTATGCATGAATTCCATGTATCTTTCTCTTTTCTCTCGGATTTTCTGTCTCTCTCTCTCCCTCAGGCACATTCAAATGACTTTTTCCTCTGTCTCTCTCTTTCTATGTCAGTTCCACTCCCACCAGCTGTTCCACATCTTGGTGGTCGCGGGGGCTTTCGTTCACTTTCACGGGGTCTCCAACCTGCAGGAGTTTCGCTACACGGCGGGAGGCGGCTGCGCCGAAGACGGCACTCTTTAACGAACACACACGCCCCCTCACTCACGTTTTGCAGGGAGGCGCTGGCTGAAAGCATATGCACAGAATCACTCGGCTGCTCAGACAGAAATGCACACAAGCTCTCACCTGACAACCGAAGAGCGAAGCAGCGCGCCCTGCGCTGTCCGTGTGCGAACAGGGGACGACCCCCAGGGGTCACTATTAAAACTGAGTGTCTCTCTGTCAGTCTGTCCATCCACACCTTTATTGGTTTTGTTGCTTGGGGCCGTAAAAGAATTTCTGAAGCAGCGTGTTTTCTAAACCAGTTTTTGAGACTCTACTTTTGTCTAAGAGGGGACGGGAATTTTAGATCTCTCCTCCAGTAAATCCACGCTTTACATCGTGAATTAATGACCCGATTTCAAATGGAAGCATAATTGTGCTTTAAAAGAAACAACTTTTTGGAGTGGTCGTCTTTTTTTTCTTTTTCTGAATGGTGTTTTCCAATTAGTTTTCAGATGTGAAAAAACAAAAAGTTGAGTGGAAAATGTCTTTAGAGTTCTTCCTTTATCGTGATGGTTTGCCGGGGGAAACGTGGGGAAGTGGGGAGTGCATAATAGTCACTTTTAAAAGTATAAAAAAACACTTTTTCATGTATATAAGATTTCTAAATTTTGGGTTATAGATTTGTATTAAATGGATTTTAAAATAAAAACCCCAAAAATATGACAAATAAAATAAAGAATAAAAATAAATAAAGAGATAAGAGTATCTGTAATGGTAGAGAACCGAGTTCTGTGCATTTTGCGAAGCGCCTCTTTACTGTCTGTTAAAGGTGGAGCTTAGGTGGAGAATACAGGGCACAATACCTGAATCTTATCCAGCAGCCACTTTAAAATTAGCTTATATTTTACCCCAAATGTTAGCTGGATGTCGCCATGGAGATTAAGGTCCCCCCTTTTGTCTAATAACAATAAAATATTCTAAAGAGAGACAACACAGTTACTGATCTGGCCTCACTTGTTTTGTCGGTGTGCAGATCCTAAGTAAGACCTAACTAAACCAAAAACCTAAATTTGACAAAAAAAGAAAGACTATTCTTAAAATGTAGCGATTTTTCATTGTCCTCTTACTGTAAATGTTCTGTATCTTGATAAAGCTTATTTCTATTCCACAAGTATACGTTTATTTTTTCTAAGACACCCTGAAATGATTTATTAAAACATCTAGCATAGCTAAGATATTTTTTTATGAACAAGGCCCCATCATATCAGTTATTTCTTTGTAATTTTGGTAAAACTGTATTGTTAATTTGATACAGTTGCAGTTCATTTGAAGCCTGTATGACTCTTATTAAGACTTACCTCCACACAAGACAAGGATCATCAGTCTAAAATTATTATGTTTTTCTTTTTGATTGATTTGTGTTATTATTTATCGATTGCTCATATACACTGCAAGCTTTATTTTTTTCTATTGGGTTGTTACAAAGATTTAATCAGGTGAGCAGGGTGAAGGCAGAAGATTTCTTTTTCGTCACAAACACAAAAAAGACATGTTTCTTCAAATATCTGATGGTGTCCTTTTTAAAAACTTCTTCAAGGGCTCATGAACAGTCTCAAAAATTGAGACTTCACTTGTAGATCAATACAAACTGAACACTTTTTTAAGTTGATTTTTTTCTGGCAATACCAAAAGCTGACACCTGCACAGTGAGAACACTTAAGTATGTCATAATCTGAGCTCGTCATGATTCGATTTGCTCGATGATTGTTTTGAAGTTTGGTTGGCAAGGTAATTTATCTGCATCTTTTATTTGCATTATGCATTTCTTAGAAATAAAAATATATTATTTTCTTTGATCTTTCTTTTTCCTCATTTTATTTCTATTTGATCTAGTCTCTTTTAATTTATTTCTCTTTCAGAGTGCATAGTGTTTTGGAGCACACAGTTCATTCTGTTGGGAGTGTTTGATTGCAATAGACCTTTATATCTGCTGTATTGTTCTAATAAAATGTTTTTTTGACTTGGTGTCAGGTCTTACTTCTGGTAATGCACAAACCAAAAGGATTAGGCATTATGAAACAAAAATACTTGTAATTTCTTTGTCATTTCTAAGTTATTTTTGAATGAAAAAAAAATAAACATTTTTTTTTCCAGAAGTGAAAACCTTACTGAAGAAGGTCAAAGGTTGTCGAGCTAATTAGCATGTTTGCACAGCTGTTCATTAAAAAAATAATGGTGGTCAGTCAACTGAAGGAACAGCTACATTTTGGTGGATTTTCTCCCAGTAAATGTTTTTCTTAAACGTTCGTGTAAAAGGACGCTTCAATGAGGTATTTTAGTGTTATATTGGGTCTGAAATTTAAAACATTTGGATATTGTGCGGAAATAAACGATGTAACGGCAGTTTTTTTACACCAACATGGCGGCGGTGCCGTCGATGCTACAGGTGAGTTTATTTCTTTAACAGTTAAAATAGCAATTGCTGTTGTGTCGGTATACAGTAAAAAGTTGTTGTTGCTAAAGTCGTGGCTTTTGGAAAATTGTGTTGCAACAAAATTATTTTTAATACTTTTAAAACTAGCAGCGGGTTGCTCAGAAATTCGTCGGTGTACCTGGATGGATTTACTGGTAAAACTTTAGTTTTTGAGCTGAGACATTTTCCCAGGTTGACTGTGATACGTGTGCCTATTAGAGACTATGTTCAGGCTGCAAACAAACTTGGGTCGTCAAGCTTTTTTTGTCAGAAAGTTGTCTCGCAATCATGAGGTGTCCCTTATTTTGTCCCAGGACTATTTTAAGGACTATTTGCTCGATAACCTTTGACCTTCAACTCAACAAACTTGGAACAAATCAGTACTGTTGCACATCAGCAATGAACCCTTAATGACATTTTCAGACTTTCCTAAAGTGAGACTTTGAACAGCAATGCTTTAGTTATCTTTCATGTTTGGCTATTTCATTTGTTTGAATCCTTAAAAAATTCTGATGGCAAACCCAGTTTGCATTATGCCTGACAATAACTTAAAATTAAGATCAATGCTGAGCATTAAGAGATTGAAGACTGCTTCAGTAGCATTCAAAATAAAGTTTACATACACCTTAATCTGACCATAATGTTGTAATCAAGTTGTTGTTTTCTTCAATTTCTCCCTTAGAACGTTTTTTACATTTTTATTTTTTTACCAGTGGATGACTCAAGATTAACCTGTCACCTAATTGTGGAGGTGGCTTCAAAGGTTAGTAAAACTATCAAACCTTGTAAATCTTTGGGGCCTCTTGGTTTCCCAGAAGAATTTTAGCTTGCAATCTTTGACACTAGAAGGAACTGATTTATTGTGTTTGTCTGACCTAAACCAGACATTTAAAAAGCATAGAAATATGTTTGTCCACCAGAAATGTTATCCATCTAAGCTATCTATATATATATATATATATATATATATATACATTTCGTAGATTCTTGACTTAATTGAATAACTGTATAATGAAAAACTATTTTATGAGCTTGTGAAAGATGTTAAGTGACAATATTTCTCAATGATACAGATACTTTGACATTTGTTGCATATAATGTGCCACTTTAAACTATATTTCTTCCACCATGTAAGAGTGATTGTGAGTTTTTCTGTGCGTCTTTGGTTAATTTGCCCCCCTTTGTTTTGGCACTTTACAAAGTATCAAGTAATCTTAAAGGAGTCCATGAAGATGTTTTAATTTAGAACGGGTCAAGCTTACGGCATAATCAGTCGGTGTTTGGTGTCATAGTGAGTAACTGGATCATCTGTTTTTACAAGAAGTCTGTATGCAGGTGAATCCTTAAATGCTGTTAAACTACACAGAGCGTGGATGTTAGCACGAGGCAAATGAGAACAGAGTTTTGCATTTTGAGACTTAAAGGAGCTCAGTCCACTCCAGCTGACCTGCAATTTTTCCCTGTTTACCAGCATAGGTCTGCTGTTTAGGAGATAAACAAGACAAAGTGCTTTTTTTTCATCTCTGCAAGCAAATATACAGAAAGCTGTAGATTCTACCCACTCCATTTCCAAATTTCCACTCTACATATTTTTTGTTGTTTTAATCATTAGATGTTGATTCTGGGATTTAATGACTTTTCTTTGTTAACCTTTGTGTGACATTCCTGTGTCACAGGCAGCAGCGTTGTTGCTTTTTGCTGTGATGTTTTTTAAATTCTTCACAGCTACCTTTTCTTAAGAAGTGATGGATGATCAGAGGGCCTAAAATTAGAGACAGGCAGCTGAGTTTAAAAGCTTTATTATGCATTTACTTGGTCTGTACACATGTGTCCATCTGCTTTTTTCCTGGAGGTTAAAAATGGATCCACTCACCATGCTGGTTCTGTTTTACAAACTTCAGTCCCTCAAAAATAATAATGGTGATTGTGGAGGATCGCTGAACGCAGTGTCTGCTTATCATCAGTGAATCTGTTCATCCTTTCATAATCAGTTCTTCATGCTCGTTTCTCCTAAACCAAAATGAAAAGACCTGCTTAGGCTCATATCAAAATGATGCCAGGTGAGTGCCGTTTGTGTACCAGACTATCTAAAGTAGTGACTTAATGAAGCCAGACATTCGTTCTATTTATTTTTATTTTAGCAACAGCCATTTAGAATAATTGACTGATTTAAATGGTAAAGCAGGAATGCTTTAGACAAATACAGGAAAGCAGGAATGCTTTAGATAAAGGATGAGTAGAGATTAACTATGACAAACATCTGGACAAATTCTTTTGTGGAGTTTTGACTTTATAGTTGGTTTTGTAACAAAATTCACATTTAATTTTAAGTCAATATTTCCCCTGTATTTGTCGCTAGTTGGATCAAATAAGACTGTGTTCTATGATGTAAAAATGATTATTTGGTCCTATAAGCCACGGACTTCAGGTGACTGCAGTCTTCTAATTGTTTTCTTCTAACTTTGCCCTCAGGTGGAGGAGTGACTCTTTGGGGCACCTTTGAGCGTTCAAGGTTAGTTTTCATTTGGTTCAAATGAAAATGGTGGCATTGATCTGCTGAATTCACAGCCCAAAAAACAAGAGCCTGTAATTCTGCTTTTTATTTTTCTTATAAAATGTAGACCTTGTGGACAGACAGTTCACAAAACCCCAAAAATCTAAATATTCAGACACTTTGAAAACAGCATTACAACATAGTCCTTTATCTAGGACTATCTTTATCGTTCAAACATTTTGTTCCTTTAAAAACGGTAAAACGTGCCTCTCCTTTGAGCATAAGGAACAGGTTTTACAAATAACTGATGAAAAAAACAGTGCCTAAAAGAAAAAAAATAAAATTTCCAAAGGGAAACAAACATATTTTAAAGCAAGATGCTACAAGTACATTCTTTTTCCAGCAGAGACAAACGATTAAATAAGCACTTTGGTCTTCTCCTCCAACTCTCTGATTATCGTTTTAATCACTACTCTGCGTCTTTTCAGAAGCCATCATGACTTCACGTACCACGGCGGACTTCAGAGGGTGATGAGCTGCTTTCACTTCAAGCCAAACACACAAACAAGTGAGGTACAAAAAAGAAATGTCAGACATTGAAATAGATGTAACTTTTTCTTCAGTATGTCTGTTTTAAAGTGCATATTTTCATTCACGTACAGACTCTGAAATGATCCAACAGTCTTGCTGCTTATTTAAAAAGACAGAAGTTATATTTGAAGTCATTTAAAAAAAAAAAAAAGAAGAGAAACTTAACCCATTAGGACCCAAAGAGTGAAGCGTTCACCTTTTTGCCTGATGCAGATCAACACAGTGTTTGATAATAAAACGGGTTTGTGTCATATTGGGTTAAGAATGAAAGTTAAATGTGGGATTTCCTAAAAATGACAAAATAAACCCTGTTTATTTAATTTAAGGTGAGAACTAAAGTTCAAATCTATTTGTTTAACCTTTGTAAGCATGTGATGAAAAGTTGTCTGCACCCGTATTACAGGAAATACTGCTGAAAGGGTCTTATTTGATGTGGGCCTAGAGGTTTCAGCTCTGAAGGGGTGGAGGAACCCAGGAGCTACATCAGCATCCATCAGCAGGTACGAGCTAGCTGGCAGAAAGGTATCAAACAGGTTTCTGCATGAAAGAAGATTTTTGCCATGTTGGACACATCTTTAAAACTTAAAAGGTTACACAACATAAATAGCTTCATGTTTAAGCAAAAATAAAACTGCTGCCCAAACACTTTCTTTAAATTTGCAATTGAGTGAACAAAAATCTCAAAAGCATCAGAGAACCCAAACCATCACAGAATAAGTTATTACTAATACTTTGACTTCAGCTAAAATATAACTTTGTCTTGTGTCACAGAGCACAAATGTGAACAAACTAGAATTCAAATAAACCCTATGTACAAACACTGAACGGGTAAATAAATAGTGAATTGCACAAAGTGGTAACATCGAAGGTCAGAGCAGTCCCGAAGTGGTGAGACTGAAGTGTTGACGTCGTTTCTTAAGTTACTGTCATGATTTGATCTTCCAGAGCTGTGAAGACAGAACATGGACGTTAGATACTGAGGAAAACAACACGCTGTCTTTATGGCTGCAGCAGCGCCACGCGCACCTTCAGATTGAACCCCAGCAGGTCGGATATGACCCCCGACACCGCCGACAGGATGACCACCTGCGTGATGTTGTAGAGCAGAGGGTTCATGGTCAGTCCGTACAGCCTGAAGGGGGTGTCCAGATCCTGCAGGGAGGGGTCAGACACTTAGTAAAGGGACGCAGGGAAACCACACGTAAAGGGGCAGAAAAATGAGGCAGATAGAGGGCACCTTGAGCAGTTTGGTAGCCAGTTTTAACACATTGTTGACCAGTGTCAGCTCTTCTTTCTTGTTTGGCTTTTTCTCCATTTTCAGGTACAGGTTGATCTGTGAAGCAGAGGATGAGTGTGGCTGTTTGACCCAGGCTTTGATGTGATGCGCGTTCTCTCTGTGTGTACCTGTTCAGTCAGCAGGATGGAGGTGTTGCTGTACTTCTTGCTGGTTTCTGAGCCCAGAGTGACAAACCTGAGCAGGAACAGAGAGAGACTGGAGCACCAGATCACCAGCTCCCAGTTATAGTGACACTCCAGGAACGTTTCATGGACATGGAGCAGCTGCAAAAGAGGTGTGTGTGTGTCAATTTGTTTACACGACTCCTGTTTCCTTTAGGTGAACAGTTCAGAAATGTACTTAAACTCCCATTTTTCCAGTGCTAATGGTTACTACCGCAGATGGAAACACTTACCTGGGCACAGCAGATGAAGACGACCGACAAAGTGAGGAGGAAAGCAGAGGACACAATGACGTCCACTGACCGCTGTGGACCCCGTCTCTGCAAAGTCAACATAGATTCCTCAGTTAGGCCAACCCCCCCGTGGTCAGTGGGCTGGTCGGGTGGGACCTGCTGTACCTTGAGGTAGGAGCGCAGCAGCAGCCACATTTTGATGTTCTGAACTTTCTTAAGTCTAAAATGAGGGACTTCAGACTTCCGGGCTCTGCGGGCAGAGGTCAGGTGACCGAACAGTTTGGCAAACAGCAGCCTCTGAAGCATAAAAAAAGTAAATATGATTAAAAGAGTTGTTTTTCTGTATCAAGAGAAATCATCATCGTTTACTATTCCCACCTGTTTGTATGTCCGCTCTGCTACACTTAGTAGGAAGAAGAAGAGCCATATAAGGCAAACTCGCACCAGGAAGCTCAGCGTTACCATGGCAATTACCAAGGCATCAGATCCAGAGCCGCCTCCAAACGCCACGGACAGCAGCTCATTGACTGAGAGCGCCGTCAGCTGATCCAGGTCACGGTACTGAGCCAGCCTGGAGGAGGCCATGTTGGATATTAATGTGTTTCCACAAGAATTTAAGCTGGAATGACTGTGGATTTTTTTTTTACACACCTGTATACAAAGGGCATGAGTCCAAGTGTCACTGCAACCAGGTTCCCAAAGACCTGGTAACCAATCCCCGGAGTGTAGAGATTCACCTGAACATGGAGAGAGCATCAGCATGTCTGCGGGGGGTAAATCCTCGTCATGGCCGCAGGAAGCATCACTCACTCTGTTCATAATCATGCCGCTGATCTCCAGGACAGACATGTCCGCCTTCTTACACTCGTTTCCCTCCCACACGATGGCGCTCACTCGCTCCAGGCCGGGGTTGGGGCTGTGCAGCCAGGGAACGTGACCCTGAAACCACAACAGGGGAATTCAGACGACTCTCTTCACCACGTCTGTGGAGACGGGAGCCAACCAGCTGCGAGCCTCACCTGATGGAAGGGGTCGTCTCTGTACTCCTTTTTAGCTGGCGGACAGACGGGTGTTCCTCCTCCTTCTCCCTCTGCAGAAAACAGTTTGCATGTCATGACCACCAAAGGACCGGCCACAGAAGTCAGTGAGGTCACTTCCTCCCCTCACCTGTCTCTGAGGTACACGATGACCTGCACTCTGCGCAGTGCAGGAAGTCCTCCCACATCAGGTCCTCAGTTTCAGACTCATGACGAGTGCTCTCAGAGTCCTGAGTCCTCAGACTGGAACATCTGGAGCTACAGCTGGTTCCAGATTTGGGAACGTCCTGACCAACAGAACAGATGTTCATTAGCTTTGAGATGTCGAACTGATCTAGTGTGAATAAAAGTGTGTGGACTGTGTACCTCCACAGCGTAGTGCTTCTTGTAGTGGTGCGAGTTCTTGCGGTTCCGGAGAGCACAGTCACTGGTCAGCCTCTCCACCCCCCTGCGGAGGGCGCTGTAGGAAGCCTCAGGGTCTTCCTCACTGGACGCCTCGTCCGATGCTGGGTCCTAAAACAAAAAGAGGAAGGCATCAGTGACATCCAGCGCCGGCCGCTGCCCTGTGGGTTCCAAAAGGAAGCAGAAACCGCTGGAGGCCGGGCTGGTGTGCCGGGTCACCTTGCTGCCGGGGGCCATCGGCAGGGCGGGGCTGCGGGCCGGGTGGGGGGGCGCTGGCTGGGCCTGAGAGCTCCAGCAGGCCTCGTCAGCTCTGCTCACAGCGTCACAGCGCTGCTCGTGCAGCTGGAGCCCCTCCTCGCTGCTGCGATTGGTCACCCGGCCGTCCAATGAGACGTAGCCGTTATCCGTCTCTGTAGATTTGTCGATGGAAAGCTTGGACTTCTTTGATCTGCAGAAGGGAGCAAAAGAGTGATGATAAAGAGAGCAGGCGGGTAGCAGAGCGGCCGGTCTCATGCAGACATGCAGCGACATGGAACCAGGAAGCATTCACACAGCACGCCGGAACATCAGGGTGGAAACGATGTGACAGAACAGACAGGAAGAAAAATTCAACCAATCACTGACTGGCTGAGTTCACATTAAGAGGAAACAAGTGCACAGAGTCATCAGTAGTAAAAAAGATTAATCACACATCGGATCATTAACAGAACTGAAGAAGAAAGTGAATCAGGTCTGATGTTCAACAGCTGACAGAAGGAGAAGCACAGGCTGCCGCTTCAGACACTCAGTCTGAGCCGAGCCTGGTTAAACAGCTGCCACAACTCCGAGATCAATGGGAAGAATGAAATGCTGAGATAAAAGAGGAGAGGATGCTACAGCTGACCAATCACAGTTAAGCCAAAGGCAAGGCTGGTCCTCTTCAGCTTCAACCACAAAGTCACATTTGAATTTGACAGACTTTAGAGTGAAGAAACAGATTCATTTGGTCAGTTAGGTGATTGTTCTGAAGCACAGCCTTGTCTTTGAACGCCACGTCATTGTAGGAAGAGGGGAAATAAATACACACCCAGCTTTACAGATATCATGCCAGAAATCTTGGAAGAAAGCGCCCAGGCTGTATGTGGTGCTGGCTGAATGGGAATGTGGCGCCCCCTCCTGTGTGTTATCGGTAGTGCTAGACCCGTCGCCTTCCCTATGCACCTCCATCTGAGATGCCTTCCTCAACTTCCTTCAGTTTGGAAAGAACGAAGGGTGGAGAAAGGCTTAAAGTGGATCTGGAGACTAGGAAGTCATAACTACAGCAGTGTGTCCAGGGTTTCCTCTGCGTTTGAGAGGTTAACACCACATAACTCAGATTTTAGTAGCTTAGTAAACTCATAAGTAACATGTCTGGAGCTTCAATGAGAGAATGAGAACCGGCGCCGCTGGACACACTGGCTGTTACAGCAGGTTAAAGGAAAATAACTACTTTCTTTCTGCAAAAGTCAAATATTCAGAAAATCTGCAAAACGTGCACATTGATGCTGATGCAAATTCATTTTGGTCTAAACAAAGGACTTTTGCAGAACTGCTCACAAAACCTGGTACAGACACACAGGCGCACAGGAGGAGTGTCACAGAGGAGTTCAGAGTGTTTTCTTCATCTTGCTGAAGTCAGCCGGTTCACTGTGACATCAGCCGCACGTCAAACACTCAGCATGACATGGTCTTAACGTTGCCATAGAAACAAAGTGTTCATCATCCTGGCTGCAGCCTAAATATCTCCATCTTCATTTATTTTTCAGACCAAATTGTCCTGCTTCATGAGTGTCAGACAGCAGAAAATAAAAAGCGGCTTTTATTGCAATGACTTGTTTTGTGGATGACAGCACTTCCTGTTCAAACGTCTTCCTGAACCTGTGGTTCCTAAAGAGATCAAACACTTATTGGAATTTTAAAAAATTACGTTTACTTTCTCTCCTAAAACTCTTTCCAAATCAAATCTTTTGTCTGAAAAAATCCTGTGAGGCACACACAGAAAGAAGACAAACTCCAAATCAAAACACAGCAAAGAAAAAACTGACACAGGGAAACCCTCTGCCACCAGTACCACCTAGTCCTAATTTCAACCAGAGAAAAAACTCATGTTTACTCTCTAATCAAAATAGTTGAACCCCCTTTGCTCATCTTCTTCCTGTGTCTCTCTTTTCAGCAAAGACATTTGAGGTGGTTTCCCATTCTGTCTGTTCTGCTCATGTTCCTGACTCCTGCTCCGCTCAGGCCTACAGCTCTGCGTGGGACTGGTGCTTACCGGCGTCTCTTCCCCCCGCTGCTGGAGGCGGGCTTGGGCGTCCTGGTGGAGACGATCTGACAGTGAACGGTGCCCAGCAGCAGCATGAGCCAGATGGCTCCAAACACCTCTGTGGACGGGATCCCATGAGGCTGCTGGACGCTCACATACAGGACTGCAGCTGCCACTGGGAGAGAGAGAGGACACCTCAGCTACCACTGAGAAGGAACGGGGCTGATCACAGACATCTGCAGACACCCTGAACCATCTTCTATGGGACTCAGTTTGAATTTAAACAACTCTTTTGGGATGAATGTGAGTCAGCCGTCCAGAAGCTGAAACCAAAGTTTGATTAAATGTATGCAAGCAAAGCGGAACACTGACATTCCACTTTAAACCTTTTAGCCCTCTACCCTCAAACAATAAACTCGTCTGTAACCACCTGCAGAGAGCTTGAGTTAGAGTGGGCATCTTTATTTTTAACTCCACACTTCAGTGACGGTGTGTCGGTGTGCGACTGGACAGGAAGGGTGGACAAAATGTATTCTGTTCAGAAAAGGGAAACATGATGTAGGTGGTGGAAAATACTGTCCGCTGCGTTTGTGGCAGGACAAAAACAAACTGTTTACCGTTTACTTTAAAGGTTTTAGGTCTTTCAACAGAAAAAGAGGCGTCCTTTTGCAGCTGTCACAATCTTGTTTTCTATGACAGCATTTGCATGAGGGCTTTGGAGAAATGGGTTCGGAGGTGAGGGGACACACACCTTGCAGCAGATAGAGAGCCAGCAGCAGGAGGAAGATGGCTCTGGAGGTGACCTGGATCCACCATCGATAAAAGAAGGGGAAGAAAACCACCCTGACGATGCCCTTCCTGGTCAGGGACGTCCATGGACTCTCCGGTTTGGCCTTCGCAAATGCCGAACCTGAAAGGATGGACTGGGTGAGCGGAGAAGCTGGTCCCAGCCTGAAGCGGAGGAAGCACACACTCGAGTTTCCCACCTCTAACCAGGTCCACGTCGATGAGATCTGGTTTGACGTGGCCCGTTTTCTTTGGCTTGTTCCTCAGGCCCTGCAGGGGGAGACAGAGTCAGCACCAGGCCGCCTGCAGCCCTGACCCTCCCAGACTCACATGCTCCCACAGCCAGGGGGCACACCATGCACTCACACCGCTACGCCGCTGGCCGCTACGTCCAGCCTCTATTCTGGTTACGCTCAGCAGTTTTACTGACTCCTAAAAGGTCTCCTGGCCCCCGGAGCCAGCTGTGTTATTCATCCCCCCAGCTGTGGCCAGCTGCTCCTTCCCTTTATGACCCTTTATGGGAATCCAGCTGCCCTTTGGGACACTTCCTGTGCCTGCCTCTCACTTCCTGTCACATCTACACACTGTGTGTTTTGAGTTACTGTATAAAGATGGAGTCTGTGTTTTTGTGGACAAATGAATGTGAATAGAGAGTTTTAAAATGTGTCAGTGAGGTTTCGTCTCATCTGAAGTTTTAGCATCTTCATCTTTGAAAGGTGAACTTCTCCACGTGTGCTATGAAACCACCTGAAGCAGCGGCTTGTGCCAATATTTACTCAGCCAATCAGGGCCCGTTATCGTCCAGCCATCTGATACAGAGGCTCTTATCTTAAAACAATCCCACCAACAAGCTGATACTCTGTGGCAGAGTGTGTGTAAAAGGAGGAAAGAGTTTGGGGGAATAGGAGCAGCAGTGTGTGTGTGTGTGTGTGTGTGATGGGGGGGGGTTGGGGAGCTAGAAGCAGCTGATCAATAGCTTCCTGTTGGCAGCAGACTGACTGCAGCAGCTAAAGTCCTTCACAGGAAGGCCGCCTGGTCCCTCTGAGCTCTCATGAGCTGGACGCCGCCTCAGGCCGGTGCACAGTTTGTGAAACCAGGTTGAGAAAAATGTACTGCTGATTTCACTGGTTAGAAAACACTCAATCCTGCTACAAGCTGCTAGAAAAGTCCCAAATAAGGCCCGGAAACGCGAGAGTGTCCGCCTACCTTTGGGGGAAATAACGGAATTACTGACAGGTTTTATTTGACATGAGAAAAATGTGTCCTGTATAAGAGGCCACCTTTAAGAGCTAAAATTAGAGCTACAGCAGAGTTACACAACAGATTCTTTAGATTTATGGGAGTGATAGGTTCAGTGTTTATGATGCCGTTCACAGTATAAGTAACACTTCAGAGGGATGAGCCAAGGTCGTACTGCAGTGTGTGTGTGTGTGTGTGTGTGTTTCTTTCCTCTGATCACAGCACAGGAGGCTCCTTGTTAAAAAAGAACCTAATCCACAGAAAAAGGATAAAGTCTCAGATCTTGAGAAGTGGAATAATATGGAGGTCTCTGTGGACATTTGACATAAATAGCCAGTCTGTGTGAGTAAAACTGAAGGGACGGCTGGTCTGCAGCAGCATGGGAATGCAGTGAGTTGGAGATAGTGCAGAGGAGGCCGTTTTTTGTTATCTGCTCTGTTTCATCCCTCTCCAATCTGCCTTTTCTGCTTCAGACTGAAGACCTGCCTGATCACATGACTCCAGCAGCTGGTCTCTGAGTGGCTGCAGTTAGCAGCGGACACACAACACGGCGGCGCCGGGGCCAGATGTTAACGGACACCAGGACTCAACACGGCAGCTCATCTCAAACCCACCAATCACAGTCTAGCAGGCTACAGCGTGGGTGAGCACACGTGCACAGTGGGATATGAGAGGACCCCCCCCCCTGCTGCATACTCACCAGAGAAATAAACTGAAGAGAGGAGGAGGAAAATGGAGGAGAAGAGAGGAGGGGGCAGGTGATAGTCAGTCCAGAAAGGAAAGAGTTCAAAGAAAGATACGGTGGCACCAAACCACAAAAAGCCAAAGGAGGAGGACAGAGTGAAGTCAGACAGCAAAAAAAAGACAGTTACTCATGAACAATGAGGCAGAGGCAAAGAGAATGAAAACACATGAGGAAAAAGGCACTTCATGAGAGAACACAAAGAGGAAAAAGTGCCAACGGGGGAAATCATAAAAAGCCTGGAGATGTAAAGCAAACAAACGGCCAAACATCCGACCTTTATTTCTCTCTGCTCCACCGATTTCTCCCATATCTGCTGGTCGTAGGCGCCAATCTGGAAAGATAAAGAAAGCAGCGGTCAGGAGGGGGCAGAAACCATGTGCACACATCTACCTGGGTGATACTTCATCCTTCCTCCGAGGCCTGAGAGCCACACACCCAACAGCTCCACACCTCCACCCATTTCTCCGTTTATCTGGTCAGAATCAGAGTGCAAAACGTTGGAAAACTGACCCGAAAGGGTCATCTCCACCTAAAGTGTCGTCTGCGGGAACGCAGCACCGGCTCGACCCGCCTCACGCACACAGTGTGTGTGTGTGTGTGTGTGTGGAGACGCTGTGAGCTGAACAGACACTGAGTCCGTCTCCCACAGATGATGGATCGTGACCTCAGCAGATCTGAGTATTCATGTGGGCATGACCCCCCCCACCACCCCGGATCACCAGTGGAAAGTCTGCATCTTTAATCAGACTTCATTAAAGATGGATGGAAAGAGAAGAGAAGGGAGGAGAAGAAAAGCGAGAGCAGAGATGGCCTACATTAGAACAGCTCCTGCCTGATAAAAAGAGGCTTTGCTGCTCCACCTTTCTGGATGTTTCTGCTGGCTGGCTGACGGCCCACACCCTGTTCGGCATCATACATTAATGAGCCCATCATATGGACTCTTATCCTTCAAGAATTTGAAAGGTAATGGTACTGAGTACAAGGTTGCATCTTTTAGGCCGGCTTAAAGGCTTTATAGCACGTTATGAATCAGCCTGACCGACCGGATGAGTGAACGTGGACAGCTGTCCGTATTAAATCTGCCCTTTGACTGGCAGGTTAACAGAGTGATATCTGGTCGGACAGCCAATTTCCATGGCAACCCCCATAAAAAAATGACTGAAAAAACACACAGAGATTAGAGCTCACTCTCAGTGCACCGAGGAGGACGAGTGGAGGGCGAACGGGAGCAGGCAGCAGAGCAGGAATACAAAGGAGAGGAGCGACACACACACACACACACACAAATCCTCTTATCCTCACACGCTTACATCATTTTACCTCATTTGTTCCTCTTAAAGAATTTCTTTGGCTTTTTGATAACAGAACATGAAACCCGACCGTCCGATGGTTTCAAAGCTTTTCAGGGTTATTCTGCCCCAGAATTCTCAAAATGATGCATTTTTAATACAAAAAGGACAAAGGTAAAACCTTTAAATCCAAACCAGCTCCTTCTTAGACGATTCATCTTAAGTGGCGAGGACAATGAGCCTCTGCAGTACGGCTGGCGTCACCATGACAACAGATGGAGGGGGGGGGTTACATAACTGCTGCATAACTGCACACGCTGATGTTGACGACCACACATCAGCTCTCCTCCAGCTCTTCTCCAGCCCTCGTCTGGAGGCTGCTGTGCCGGCAGCATGAAGCAGCCGGTGACCCCAGACTCACTCCACGCGTCGCCCTGCACACCGCCCACGCCGCCCCCTCCCCCCCCACAGCTCTGAAGAGCACAGGAGGGAGCTTCGGCTCAGAGCTGAACACACTGTGAGACCCACTGCAGATACATAGTTTTTCTACCCCCCCCAGCGTCCCTCTCACATTGAACACTGATCTGCTCTGCAAACGGAGGCCATTTTCCTTATTGTATCTGCACACATTTACACTCTGAAGAAAAACAACTCACTTAAAGACCTGATCAAAAAATCGGTGAAGACAAGAGGAAATGAGGCGAAATCTGAGACGGCTGCTTTTAGAGAGAAGACGATCCCCTCCGGTGTGTCCTGTCACCGTGACACCGGAGTGTGAGGTCCATTTTTATCTCAGGTGTGTGTGTGTCTGGTGGGAAAACCTCCTTTTAGCAGGGACACACAAACCTGATGACCCAAAAGGAGGTTTTGTATCTCTGGTCAACAGAACACCAAATATTCAGGAGTAATTTAACCCCATCTGCATGATTTTAAGCACGTGTGTCCTTTTACTTGATTACAAATATAAAAATATTTATTCATTTATTGAGTTTGGTGACTTTTTTTTAATCCCTCAGAGGATCATTGGTCAGTGGAAGTGGCTTAAAACATGGAAAGAGAGGAGTATCAGGACTGAACTGATATATAATCACTGAAAAGGAAGCTAACAAACCTTGACAAAACCTCAGAAAGCCTAAAAAACATTGCTGAAAACCGGTTAAACTGCTACTTGCAGGGCCCTCTGCATACGACTGAAATCTCTCCATTTTTCCTCTAAAGACGATGGCTGCCTTCACTGGGGGTCTCCACAGGGAGACTCTGACCTCCTGATCTCTGCACGCCGACATGAAGTGTGTCACTTCTTAAAATACGCCCATGACAAACAGACTACAGGCATCTCAGGACCACGGACAACTATTAACGACACGGCCGTCACAAACAGATCAAACGTCTCCACAAAGAACGGCCGGCTGCTTCACAGACACATAGAGAGGGCGGGGCTGGCGCCCGGCGTGGCGCCCGGCGGGGGGGGGGGGGACGCGGCCCCTGGGTGACAGAGGAGCAGCCTGACACACAGCACGGCGTCTATTTGCAGCTCCAGGCCAGACGGCTCAGTCAGAAGGCACTGTGACTCAGCGCCTGCAGGCTGCAGGGACCCGTTTGCACATCCCAGCTGGAGCCTCAGCCGTCTGTCCGGCCGGGCGGCGTGTGGAGTCTTCAGTCTGAAGCATTCAGAAGGGAGCGCGCTGAACCTCTCAGCAGCAGCGCGGCGGCAGAAACCATCGACGGGTGATCTGGTTTGTTTGGCCCCTAAGAGTCGATACAATCTCTCTTTTTCAGGAAGTCGTTTCTTTGATGACTTTTCAGCGCGTTTCAGCAGAAAGAACACCGGAAATGTCTTGTAGAGTCAATGCAAATGAAACAAGATAAAAACAAAGACTTGTAAGGAGCTACAAAGAGGAGAGAGAGGGGCTGAAATTCAGCTGATCCACCATTTGTGAGCGTAGCCACCTCAGAAGGAAATTACAACTCACACGCCGCAAACATGAGAAATGTGCAACGAGCCACAGACTTCCCAGAGTTTGAAAGCTCTGCAGGGCCCTGAATCTGCAAGCCCCATAAAGAAAGGGCTGCTGCCTCATTAGCAGTGACAACACAGTGCTGCTACTGGACGGTTTCGCGGATCACAAGAACAGTTCAGAGTTACGCAGTGAGAGCAGAACCAGAGAGTGAGAGTGTGGCTTTGCAGGGTTATTCTGGGCCACTTTCAGACCATCAGAGGGGGAAATGTTAGCAGCCCGTCTGAATGAGGCTTCCTGGGTAAAGCTGCTGGGGGGGACTGGTGTGGCTGAGGCTGGAAAGCTTTTAATCACAGATGACTCACTGCCATCACTAGTTGTGCTTCTGCCCCGACAAGCAAATCAGAGCTAAAAACTCACGCGTCTAAATACCAGGGCGACTCCAGAGAAAGCTGGAGCTCCCGTTGGCATGTGCCAGTTTCAAAGGGGCATCGGAGAGATGGACGGCTGACAGACTGTGAGGCTTTACGGGTGGGTTGGTGAGCTAGATGAGACTGTAAGCTGAGCAGCTCTGGAGTCCAGCGGGGGATCTGATATCTGAGATCATGGAACAAGAGGACACACAACACCGGCCGGAGGAGGCTGTGCCCAACGGCCTGAGCCTGCTGACAGCAGGGAGGAGGTCAGCGGCAGAAGGCCGTCTCCTCCCCGAGTCCATCGCTGGGTCGTGTTGAAGGAAAATAATGAATGAGCCATCCTTCTGACACTTCTGCTTCTATTTGTGCCAACATGCAGAGACTGAGAAACAGCACTTTCAGTCAACACGGCCTTGAAGTTTTCCATGTGTAATCATTCATAAGTCAGTCAAGAATAAATACTGCATGATAATAGCTCCCAGTAGTAAATCATTGATTATAGAAGAGCTGTTCTATTCACAGTAAATATTTGGGTTGGTATTATATATCTTCACTGCACGCTTATCTATGTCATAACCTTTAAGACAATTTTCTACAGATTAAATTTAATTTAAAAAGTTTCAATTAAAAAAAGCTCTCGTATCATTTCATCTGGTTTTCAACATCAGAGTTATATTATACCATTACTTCTTTATATCATAGTTTGCAACATCCCACAGTAATAAAAAATACTCTTTTTTTAGAAAAAAATTGTTACCTGTTTTTTGCTAAACAGGTAACAATTACTTTACACATTCAAACGTCTAAAGCGTCACTATAAGCTCCATTGAAACACTTTTTGAATACGCTGTGACATCCAGACGAGCAGAGCCGTCACTGAGCTTCATTGTGAAGGAATAAGTTGATCTCTTACCTTTTTCTGGTACCACACCACAGCATCTTTAACTTTGGAAGCCATTTACATGTCCCTCCTCTGGCTTAGGGCATCTTAGGCTGAAACACAGCGAGACAGAAGAAGAGCAGAGTGAGTGAGGAGGACACGGGCGGCTGAAGGCTGCACCTGGTCAGGAGGGCGTGTCCCAGATCTGACGAAGGAGAGAGGGAGAAGAATGTGCACACACACACCTTTCCATCTCTGAGGAGAAACACTGGGGGTGAAACATTCCTCTGTCAACAACTGGAGTCTTGTTTTAATCTGAAGTCTAAAACCAAGTCTCAACACATGAATGACTTGTTTCAAGTCCTGAGAGTGGCTCAGTAAAGAGTTTAAACCACAACAAGCTCAGACTAATCCCCTCACACTTTTTTTAAGAATATGCTTAATATCTTTTATTATCTCCATGGTCACACATTTAACTAGGTAAACAAACAAAAAGTCTTTCTGTGGGCATTTCTGGTAAAATGATTAACCACGTAGAATCATATCCCAGCAGACGCCACTGAACATGTAACTTAGTCACCTGACCTCCACACACACAGCACACACACCAAGTTAAACTGTTTGCGTCAACTAGAACAAAAGCTGAAAAGAGCTCACACAAAAGCCACAATTCAAAGCGTCAAACAGGAAAGATGAGGGTTTATTCATCCCCCTGACAACAAATGTTTATTAATGCATGGAATAGTAATTTTCCATTTATATCAACCCAAAAGAATGATTTAAAGAGAAATAAGATCATGTTTGAAACCTACAAAAAAAAAAAAGAAACACCATTCATGGCTGAGAGACATGTGCATTCTGCTCACACGTTGAAGTAGTAACTACACAACCTGCCCCTCTTCATTGGACACTATTGCTGCCACGCTTTTCAGCTTAATGAATCACTTTAGAAACCGAGTCAAACATGGACACAACAAACCCAGACACTGCTCCATAGATGCGAAATGTTCAAAAGAACATCAGATCCGAGCCACATTTTCCCTTTAGTGGGTCTTGCTGACAAATCTGAGCAGCTCATGCTGAGTATAGCTGATTTTCAACTCTAGACTTAAAGTTTAAGAGCACGAGAGCCTCCTCAGCAACACAGGTAGATGATTAGGGCCACAGAGAAGATTCTCTTTAACTCAGATTGATGCACAGTTCTACTTTTTCTTTTCCGCTTCATCTAAAAACCCATTTCGGGAACATGAGGCGTCACTGAGCAGGATGAGGGGTTTCCAGAGGAGGCCTCTCTGTCAGTGGAGCAGGGAGAAGAAGATGTGGTTAACGGCCAGCAGGTGAGTGGAAAACAGGGAAGCTCTCCTTCACTTTTTCTCCGTCTCAACCTGTCTTCATTCCTCAGCAGTGTTTAAGTCTTTGTTTTTTATTTCTGTGTTATGTAAGCCTGATGGAGGTCAGGGTCACAGTCCATGGAAAACATTAAAGAATCCTGTCACCGACTGGTCAAAAAGTTTCTAGTCTAAACAGAACTTTAAAGAAGTTTGACAACCCCCCCCCCTTTTTTTAAATTATCGCTTTTCCAGGAGTCAAGAGAAAACATCCTGTGCTGTGAGGCCCTGATGCACGAGCATGTTTCTGTCATCTGCTCCTGGATGGCCGCTTCCTCACTTTTACACTCGGTCGTGCTCCTTCTTTTGAGATCTGCTGAGAAGAGAGTCCCTGAGGATCATCTGGAGAGAGAGCAGCTCTGAGACAAGCTCATAGCACAAGAGCATCAGATATCTCCACAGTTCATTAACCAAACACCAACCACAAAGGCCTGTTTCTATGTGATCAGTTTGCCACTTCAAACAGCGTCTGTGTGCACCAGAGCTCTGGCGTTCACAGCAGAGGTACAACGGCTCCAAGCTTACTTTGTCACAACGCAGCGCTCAGCAGCAGGAAGGACACAAAATGTTGCACTCAAACCAATCGACAATGGTTTGACACAGCAGGCACACAAAGAGACACACACAGCAAACCACCAGCTGGTTTGTGCAAAACTGAAAAATAAAAACAAATAGTTCCCGCAAATGTTCACCCTGCTCGTACTGCTGCACAGGTGTGTGTGGGCGTGCTACACTGTGCGTGTGTGTGCACTTTTGCCCCAATAGGCAAAAACACATTTTAGCAGCAGGAAGTCAGCCTTGCTCTCGCTCACACCTCCCTCCATCCTGCACATTTCCGGACATAATGCTTTTGATTATTATTTTTTCTTCTTCTTCTTATCAATTCGCTTTGATACCATAAGGGCTGTGCTTCTGATGAAAGCGGGGGGCGGGGAACTTCCAGCTTATGGTCCTTCATGACATTTTCTGAACCACAAAATACGAAAACATTTAGTGGCACGATGTCGAGCTCAACAGGCTTGAATACCTAACTTTTTCCTTAAAAATTGAACAATTTCTATGGTTTAAACCATTTCTATGGATTAAAACCATCAATAAATCGAAAAATCATTTGAAAAATTACATTAAAAAATAAAATAACATAAGGAATGTGACATAAAAAATGTGCGCAAATCTCTGCTCTCTCCTGATAAACTAATGAGGACAATTTGTTCAAGTTCTACTTTTTCTCCCCCATGTACTTTCAGCCTTTTATTGTATTTCACATTTCGTGTTTGTGTGGTAGATAAGACAGTAAGTGGTGTAAACTGCCATAAACATACTGCTCTGGCTCACTTAACCGTCCCACTCTTTTTGAGCAGGAATAGTTACATTTGCAAAACAACCAGAGATTAAAAGCTGAGTCAGATGTGATCGTTTGCGCTGGCTTTGGTCGGATAGCTGACAGGAGACGGCGCCGTTTGTGCTGCTGAAGTAAGCTATTCTGGTTCTGCACTTTGTTGTCCGTTACTGGCAACTTTAGCAAAACTGCAAACTGTAATCCTGTAAATCCACACACAGTCTCATGGGAACAACACCCCATCATTACCGGAACACAAATCCTCCTCAAGCAAAAACAACGATAAGACACGAGGAGGCCGAGCCTCTTTGTCTAAAGCCTCGGAATCCCATCATCACACCTCTCTGTGATGCCAACACCAGCTCACACACTTTAGCCGAGAAAAACAGTCAGAGACGGCCATTAGCGCCTCGCCCAGCCCCAGACGCAGGCCCGGCTGGGCCCTGCAGAGCCTGATGCACGCAGGGACACAGAAGACACAGTTATTTCCTAAAACACTCTCTTTCCAAATCACACACTTGCAGCGATCCAAAAATACACGGTGGTTTCCGGGAGGGTATTTTGGGAACAGAGCCCAGACAGCAGACACAAACACAGTTATTACGCTTTAATGATCCCAAGAAGAAAATTCGTGGGCAGAAAAACAAAAAACAGTGAGAGCAAATGTCCCACAAAGTTCGCACAGTGGAGCGGATTTGATGATTTTTCACTGCTTTAAAGTTGATGCGTTTCCTCACAAATCCAACTTTCCTTTTTTTAAATGTCAGCTGAACGTACGGCCGTCTGCTCTCCACTGAGTCTGAGCTGACCCATTTGCAGGCTGCGTGCACTATGTAGGCCACCGGGCTCAGGCAGGACTGTGTGCGTTTGCTGGCACAATCTTGATGCTACAGTTACTGGAAGAACCACTGAGCTCTGCAAAGCATTCAGACGTCTCTGACAGGACCAAGATCCTTCTCTTTGATGGAAATCTAATCTCTCCAAAAGATAAATGTGTGAAGTCTACTTTGAAAACCTCAGATTATTTATAGTCAAATGAAAGAGAAATGTAAGTGTGTAGCGTTAGTCATTTTTCTACACACTGGGAGGTCTCTGTGGCAGATGATAACAATCTGATCAAAATCTAAACTTAAATATATTCACATAAATACACTGAGACTGTTTCATTCAGCTACCACAACATCAGTAACAATGAAAACCTTACATTTACAGAGTAGATTATTTGTAGCTGTCATATGTTGCTTAATAACATTAATAATAAAAATGTGGACTGGATTTCTGAAAATTGATGAAGAAAAAAAAAACTCATACTGAGGGAAATCTGCATCATTGCAACACAATCATTCATCCATTTCCGTCGGTGAACATGCTTGGGGAAGGAATTAAAACTTCTGTCCAGCTCTTTGGCATTTTCCAGCTGCCAAACACCACAGCAAAGCATGAGGCTGAGTGAGTGATGCAGGGAATTGTTTTATAATGACTCTCTAAACATTACATAATAACTGGTTATACAACCTGCCCCCTTCTGATTTTTACACCCCACGGTTTCCCTCCAAGACATTTGCTGTTGAATGTTTGCCTTGCTATCATTTACAGTGGCTTTCTGTACATGGACACCAATGTTCTGACTACTGGCCTCAATCTGAACGAGACTATATTCCGGACATGATGTTTACATGAGTTTCAGATGGAGGATTTATGAGCAACAGTGTCCCTGTAATTACTCACACCACATTACAACCCCCTTTTGGAACCACTGACCTCATACTATCAAAAAAGGAATAGTTGTTTATTATTGGGGATCAAAGCCATATGCTGAGAAACTCTGGAAATAAAGATGCAAATGAGACTAATAAAAAATCTACATGATGGAGAAAGAACCAACACACACTCAAGAGCTAATTTTATTCTCCTTTACTCCACATAGAACCGTCTGGTTAAGGGGATCAGAAAGGGCCGTTTTAATAAAGTCTAATTCAGAGTAGGCAGCTCTTAACCAGGTTAATATCAGACTATTGTTGAGCGTGTAAAAGGTTGGCTGGTTTTATGATAACATTTCCATTTGTCACTCACTTCCAGGTAGTTTAAGTATAAGAAGAAGAAGCTAAGACTCACCACTCCTCCTCCTTATTTGCTATGAAAGTCAAATCTACAAAAGATCTCTGCAGCTACTGAGATAACAAGTTTTTTGGTAAAGTTTATTTTTACGACACACAAAGTAGATGCCTAACTTTCCACTTCTCTTGAGCCAAAAGAAGGGCTGTGGATATAACACATCGGAAAGTGAATCAATAAGAGTAAAAGCATTCTTTAAGCTTCAACTCAGAGATTTTGGCTCCACTGATATGCCAGCTCAGAGCTGATTTGCACCTTAGCTGATGCGTGTCCTCAGGCAAACTGCTAAAATTAAGGGATTAGAAGGGATTTGCAGTGAGCCTCACATCCAGATGACTCCAGACCTAAAACAACTTTATTACTTCAGAGCTTGCTGGTACTTTTAGCAGAAATACAACACAGGACCTGGTTCTTCCCATCCATCATGGGCTGACACGGTTTTTCAGACAGTCTTGAGTTCCGCAGAGCAGAGGGAAAAACAAATTAAGGTCAGATGATGTAGTGTACGTTTCCTAAACCTTGTGATGTGTAACTGTATACGTTCCTTCATCCCTCCTGCTGTGGTTTACAGGCTGGTAGGATTTTAAAATGGGCCTCATTAGAGTCTAAATTTACTTGGGTAGTTGTGGTGTTTTAATCCGTGGTAACCTTCCAAATATTTCCAGTTTGTTTCCATGTGGCTCGCTGCTGCAGGTTTTATAGAGACCTCTTGGACAGCTGGTCAAAAAGCTGTTTACATCAAGACAGAAGATACGTTTTTAGAGATTGGTTTTTCATCCACTTTGTTGGAGATGCAGTGTCATATGTCTTTGGAATGTCTCATGAAACCATGAGAGCAGGAGGAGACCTCCTTCACGAGTCTGGCAGCTCGTGATGTGTAACACGAGCTGCCCTCACTATCAGGATGCTTCATATTTCATGATGAGCGCAGGTCACCCTCTGTTGGAGGTGAGGGGGCACGTGTGAGGAAGTTAAGTGTGTGAGCGTGGTAGCATGCCCTCAGGAAACATGATTCTGCTCAATGGACACTGAAAGGTCAAAAGGATGAGGATTCAGAGGAGCAGTTTGTATGAGAATCTAGGTGTTTGGGATCAGGTTTTTCATCAATTAGACGGTTTCCTAAGACATCAAATGACCGCAGTTTACCCCCATTCACAATTACGTGACGAGTCCCCCAAATTCAAATCCTGCCACCAACACTACTGGAAACTCATTTGCTTTAAGGAGTAATTTATTCACAGGGTCTGCATAAAGCTCCCTTGAAAACAAGTTTTATTTTCCTCCTTTGCTGCATTGTGTGGGTAAAACCTCTTCCAGTAGTTTTCTCTTTGGCATTCATCAGTGTTAGTTTTTTGGGCTAATTTTTCCTACTTTTAAAAAAAAAAATTGAGCTGTGGTAATTTTTGTTTTCATACATTTCAGGTTTTGAAAACTACAGTATAATATTTAAGTGTTTTGGTTGAAATATAAAATCTTAAAAACGGCATTGACAAATACATCATTAATTCACTTCAACTTTACAATAAAATGTTTCAGATCATTGTTGTGATGATATCAAATACAGACATTTTTTATTTCAGCCAACAGCATTATTTAATTGTTTCATACTTCTGTTGGTTTACTTTCTTTAGAATCTCTGGAAATGCTGTATTATATGGGGTTAATCCGCAGTCCCATTTGGCCATCCGAAAACAGCTGGCCGATTTAGTCAACTGGTAACAATAAAATTAGTCAAACAAAAGTCACCTTAACTTGAACAAAGGCAACAAAGAGAAAAGGCTTTTAAGCTTCTGAGCATAAGAATAAAGCCATCATCAGCTGAATTCTTATTTTTACAAAAGTATAGCAAAATAATTATGGGGTAGAAAGTTAAGACATGTAACGGTTTACTGGGATCTTTTGACCTCCAGTCAAACAGGAAATAGGCAGTAAAGGTAATTCAAGTGACTGGACTTAGTGGAGCTGCTACACGGAATTTCATAAATGTTTGACCATTGAATGGTTTTGTTAATCAGGTAAAAAAAAACTCAAATAAACAAAAGAAAAGGACATCAAAGTGATGGTGAAGCATAATGACTGAACAGCTCGGGCCGATGGACAGGAAACCGCAACAGAACTGAAACTCAGAAAA